GCGGCCTTGGGGGGGACTGAGCCCTTAACCTGTGGAATCTGATGCCATCTCAGGGTAGAGTGTCAGAATTGAGCTGAATTCTTGGACACCCTGTTGGTGTCTGAGTTGCTTGTTGGTGTGCGGAAGCCTGAACACACACATACACATACCCCCCACACACGCATCAGAATTGGGTCCAGGAACCCGGGCTTAAGTGAGGGGTGCAGAACCTCACTGAGGTTCTGAGGGCTCACTGAGCAGCTGTTCTGACCACGGCGACTGGCTCCAACCTTGGCTCTCAGGCCCCCACTTGTCCTTGCCTTCCCCATGAGACATGGGATTCTTTTTTTTAACTTAAAGATTTTATTCATTTATTTGACAGAATGAGAGAGAGAGAGAGAGAGAGAGAGCACAGGCAGGGGGAGTGGGAGAGGGAGAAGTAGGCTCCCTGCTGAACAGGGAGCCCGATGCGGGGCTCGATCCCAGGACCCTGGGATTATGAGCTGAGCCAGAGGCAGACGCTTAACGACTGAGCCACCCAGGCGCCCTGAGACATGGATTCTTTCGTGCCTCCACACCTTTGCTCATGCTGTTCTCCCCACCACAACTCTTGTCCTCTCCCGGCATGATGTCTGTGTCTTCTTCCACAACCCCACCCGAGCCAGACCCTGCTGCCTCCCTCCCAGGCCCTTGAGGCCTCCGTGAATGTTCTCCACTGCAGCTCTGTGAGAACTCTGGGCCAGGAGGAGGCAGGCGAGAAAACCAGCATCGGGGAGAGAGTCCTGCCTTGGTGCATTTTCACTCTTCCACGGCAGAGACCAGCCTTGGAGGAGGGGCAGCCATGACTGTGTCACAGGAAGGGGCCCCTGCCCAGAAATCTGATACCTCCCCGCCACAGTAGGACAGACTACAGCTGAAGGAGGCTCTACAGATGGGTTCTTCCCACCAGCCCATTTCACAGACCGGGACACAGAGGCCCAGGGTGGGGACCTGGCAGGGTCAGGTCTCAGTGCCAGCCCTCTAGCACAGGTCTCGGCCTTCTCGAGGCTCAAAGGTCACTGGGGACTTCCGGGGATAGACAGCATGGTGCAGCATGTCTGTGGGCGTGAGGCGCGCTCCAGGTGACAAGGTGCTGGGAGGACCAAGCTGGTGTGGCCAGGGAGGGCTTCCCTGAGGTGGTCATGTCCCACAGCACCCCAGACTTGACCTGTCCCAAGCCAATGGGAGGTCTCCCTCGGAAACCCACGCTCACCTGTCTGCCAATCACTCACTAAGGTTTGTGGCTTCTACCTCCTTGACCTTTCACTCCCTCTGTCACTCACCCCTACTGCAGGCCGCTGCCATCTTCCTCCACTCAGATGAGCGCTTCTATTCTTGTCTCCTTCTTCCTCCCGAGAGCTGCCATCTGATCGTCACCCACCACCATGCTGAACACTCTGAGGGCTCCTCATTGCCCTTGGGACAGAGACCGCAGCCTACACAGCCCTGCTCAGGCTCACATTGCACACAGCCTCTCCTCCTTGCCACACCTTCTTCTTCTCTCTGCACCCCCACCATGGTGCCTCAGGACCTTTGCACAGGCTGATCCCCTGATGGGCATGGCTCATGCTACTCATCCTCTGCCCCAGACTGCCTCCTCCCTTCCCATGCACCCCAGAGACCTGCTGATTCCTGGAAAGTCTGGAATCTGCTCCCAAGCTCAGAGGGCCAGGCCCAGGCCTGACAGAGCCCACCTGGACAGTTTGTTGTTCTTGCACTCTGGCCATGAGCAGCTGCTGCCTCATAGGTTCCGGATTCGGTGCTAAAAATACCCCGTGACCCAGACAGGAAGGGCCAACAGGGACACAGCTGCTCCTGGGAGGGGCTGGCTGGAGCTCCTGGGGCGGGGGGCGGGGGGAAGCCTTTCCACTGCAGTTTGGGTCCATGTGCGGGAAGTAGGTGCGCACTGAGCTCACAGCCCCTGAGGAAAAGTGCCCGACGGAGGAGGCCCAGGGTCAGAAAGGGGCATGTTTATGTCAAAAGGAAAATACCGCAAGGCCCGAGAGGCAGCTTGAGGAGCAGGACTCATTGTCACCTTCCCCAGGGACCACAGGCCCTCCTTCAGCCACATCCTCAGCCCAGGAGGGAGCGTGGGCCTGGCTGGCAGATCTGCCTGCTTAGGCCCAGCTGGCAGATCTGCCTGCTTTGGACGGGCAGGCAAATAGACATTAGCATCCGGCACACTGCCTACCTGCATCTCTAGGCCCCTGGGACCGTGGGGTGTCCAGGGCTTCTCTCCATAAATAACTGTCTGCAGGTGCCTGAGTCAGAGAAGTGGACCTGCCGTGGGCCTGACACACCGGACAGGAAAAGCCTGGACTGGTGATAGAGGTCTGCCTCAGGCTCTGCTGGGCCTCCTGCTGGGCCTCAGTTTCCCCATCTGAGAATCCCCAGGCTTCTGAGGAAGGAGCATCTGCAGTGGAATCCAACCACTGTTCCCCTGGATGTCCCATTCAGCTGGCAGTCCCCACCTATCCTGGGCTCCCGGCCTCCCAGGGAATGTGCTTCTCCGTTCCCAAGCCAGGCGCCTGCCTTATCGGCCCCAATCAAAGGGGAGACAGATGCCCCCGTCCGCAATGACAGCCCCTCCTATTAGCCCCAGCCTGACCCTGAGTGGAGGGCCCAGAGCTTGCTGGGTGCCTGGAGGCAGGAATAACCTCCACTTACCCATGCTGACATGAAACCTGACCTCCCTGGATGGCTTTCATGACTGGCAGGCGCCAGCTCTGGCGTCTGAGGCCCTGCATCCCCACCCTGCTGCCCTGCCTCCACCTGATGGGATCTACTCTGCTGGGCCCACCTGAAACATGACCTTGGCCTGTTTTGCTGGAAAATGGAAGCCATCCAAGGTGGGGGGGGGGGCTCCCAACACCCAAACTCTCAGCACATTGGTCCAATTCCCCCTGTATCAGGCCAGACCTGTTCTCACTCCAGAGTCAAATGCACATCCCCCTTCAATGGTTCCAGCCTCTCCCTCCCCTCCCCTGGGGACTCCTTGAGCCACTCCTTAGGGAACCCCTTTTAGCACCCTTGTTTTCTTAGGATCCACCTGAGATAACTTTGTCGGCTGGTTCTCGGCCTTTCCAGTCTCCTCGGGGGACTTCAGGGCCCTTTCAGGGCATGCCGCATCTCCTACACTTAACGTCCTCACCTGAGCTCCCCACGTTGGTAAAGGCACATCTGTTTGGGCACCTTCCTCGCCCTCCTATCCTCCGTTATCCTGGTTACAGGGGCCTTGGCATGGCTGCATCCCACTGTCTGTTCCCAGGCCTCATCTCTGTGAGCTTCTCACTGCCTTGCTCCTGAAGCCCTTTCTTGGCTCAGCTCTTGGAAGCCCTCTCCAGCCTCCCCCGGCCTCCCTAACCAGGTCTGCCTTCTCTGACTGCGGAAGGGTAAGCGGCCCAGGTGGAGCCTCTTCTCCTCCGTTTAGCCTCACCCCTTGGACGCCTCACGCAGGCCCAAGACTACAAATGCCATTGGCCTACTGAGGACTGACATCCACAACTAGACTGCCTGACCAATCTCTCCCCCAACACCACCCTTGGATTTCTCCAGGTGGATGTCACATGGATGCCCCAAACTCAACAAGACCAGAATGGGATTCCATCTGCCTGCCTTTTCCCGAAGCGTTTTTCATCTCAGTAAAGGCCACCATCCTCCATCCGCCCTGTGGCTCAGACCGTCAAGTCACCCTTGGTTCCTCTCAAACAGCTCTGCCCCATCCACGGGCAAACCCGCCTCCCACCCCTCCCCCACTCTCCAGGCTCCACCCTGCCCAAGCCACCACTGTGCCTTGCCACCTCCCCCTGCTCACGGATTCTTCTGACAGTCTACTGTCCTTGCGGCAGCCACAGGGACATTTTTAAGTGACAATCAGGTATCACTTGCTCACAGAGGCTTCCCAGATCACCCCATCTACAGTGATGGCTCACTACCCAACCCTCCACTCTTGGCATTATTTGCATCAGTTCACTGTCCTGTGAACACCAGCTCTCATATTAGTACAGGCCTATGACTGACTGCCTGTCTCATCTTTTCTTGGTTGCTGTATCTCCCGCATCCAGAAAAGCACATAGTCTGTGTTCATGGAAGGTTGACTTAATGAATGAATAAATGGAGTTTCTCTTTTCCATCAAAATGATGAGGCCCTGGGGCGCCTGAGTGGCTCAGTCGGTTAAGCATCTGCCTTCGGCTCAGGTCATGATCCCAGGGTCCTGGGATCGAGCCCCACATCAGGCTCCCTGCTCAGTGGGAAGCCTGCTTCTCCCTCTCCCATTCCCCCTGCTTGTGTTCCTGCTCTCTCTGTCAAATAAATAAATAAAATCTTTAAAAAAAAGAAATGATGAGGCCCTCTCCAGGCCGCCCACTTGCTCTGGCCAGTGTCGGCACTCTGGGGTCCTTGGGAAGACTCCCTACAGGAGTCCGCGCGCGGTCAAGTGGACCGCGGCGGGGGTGAGGGGTGGCTGGACACAGTGCTTGAGCGCCTCCTCTGTTGTGGGACAGGTAGCACTGTCTTTGGTTCTCAGTAGGGGAGAAAGACCCGACCGAGTAGCTGCCGGCCCTGGGGGCCTCACAGAGCCTCCAGCCCCGACTCGCATTGGTTCCGCCCCTTCCGGTCTCACAGTTCCTCGGTCCCGTCTCACCTTCACTCGCGGAGTAATCTCAGCCCCGCCCCCAAAGTCTTGTAGGTCCTTGCTGTTGGTTCTCTCTAGCTTGCCGCGAAGCGACCCGTTCCTCATTGGCCACACGTTCTCCCGCGCCACCACGACAGCCATCACAACAACCGCCACGTGCTCACCCGTGGGGCCTGCTATTTGGTCCCGAGTCCCGAGCCGCCCACTCCCCTGTCCCGCCCCCGGCTTCCCGCTTCCTCCTCCTATTGGTTACCGGGCCCCGGGCTCCTCCCTCGGCCCTGGGCGCGCTGCGCCTCCGACGCGGATTGGCCAAATTTGGGAGTGAGGCGGGGTTTGGAGGCGGGTTAAAGAGCGCGCAGCAGGTTGCGCCACGCGTGTCAGAGAAGTTTCAATGGCGTGGCAGGGGCTGACGGCCGAGTTCCTGCAGGTGCCCGCGGTGACGCGGGCCTATACCGCGGCCTGCGTCCTTACCACCGCTGCTGTGGTAAGCTGGCCGGGCGGGTGGGGGCGTCTCCATGGCTGCAGCCCGGGAGGGGTGTCGTCATGGTTACCGCTGTATTCCCGGGGGCTGCACCTGACGCGCCCCTGGTTCCGCAGCAACTGGAGCTCCTCAGCCCCTTCCAGCTCTATTTCAACCCGCACCTCGTGTTCCGGAAGTTCCAGGTGAGGCGGCCCCACCCATTGCACCTGACAGCTAGGCCCTGCCTGCCCTGCGCCTGACCTCCAGCCTTCCCTCCATCCCCTTAGGTCTGGAGGCTCGTCACCAACTTCCTCTTCTTCGGGCCCCTGGGATTCAGCTTCTTCTTCAACATGCTCTTCGTGTATCCTGCCCCGCGCGGACCCAGGCGTAGGGCGGTGGGCGGCTCTCCGGGCTTGGGGGGCGACCCGGAGTGGGGAAACTGAGGCTCCGCCCGGTGGCACTTCCTTTACGGACGCCGCAGGTTCCGCTACTGCCGCATGCTGGAGGAAGGCTCCTTCCGCGGCCGCACGGCCGACTTCGTCTTCATGTTTCTCTTCGGGGGCGGCCTCATGACCGTATCCTTCCAGGCTCTGAAACTTCAGGCCGCGGCGCCTCTGGGGCCAGCCTGTGCTGGCCCTGGGGCCTGACATGAGCGCCCGGGCCGGTGAGGGACAGAGTAGTTCACTCCAGCTCAGGATGTATTTAGTGTACATCGTGTGCTCGGCTCCGGATGTCAGCACCAGCTCTTCAGTGCTGTACCCAAAATACCACAGGGTGATGTGCAGGAGAGCCAGGTGGGGTGCTTGGGGGCTGAGCCCTGCGTGCCCGCATGCCAGTAGCCGGGAGAAACTGGGGCACTGAAGGCAGTGTTTGGAGGCTGGGGCGCGGTGGACAAGCAGACAGGTCACGTGGGGCCTGACAGCCACAGTGTGGCCCTTTGATTGGAAGGGCACATCTGGACAGGGGAATGGCACATAGGGGTGATGAGGGAAGGGAAACTAGGGAGGATTCCAGGGGGTTCGCAAGTCAGAGGTGTCCTGGGCAGGGGCTCTGAGGCCTGCACCAGAAGGCCTCCAGCACCTTGACTCTGGCTCAAGCTGCTGGGGCTCCTGGGCAGTCTGTTCTTCTTGGGCCAGGCCCTCACAGTCATGCTGGTGTATGTATGGAGCCGCCGCAACCCCCGAGTGAGGGTCAACTTCTTCGGCCTCCTCACCTTCCAGGCACCATTCCTGCCCTGGGCACTCATGGGGTTCTCTCTGCTGCTGGGCAACTCGATTCTCGTGGACCTGCTGGGTGAGCCTGCCTGTGCACTCGCCCTCCCCAGACAGGCCTGTCTGCTGTGCCAGAGCCCTCCCTCCCACCCGCACTGGACCTCTCTCACCTGCCCTCCCACCCCCCGCTTCCTGCCCTGCTAGCTCCGCTGTTCTGGGCCCTCAACAAGCCAGCCGGCTACAGGCTCCCCACCATCGATGTACTGATGCCCGTGTGGGTCCTCACCAGGGTGGGGATAGGTGTGTCCAGTTCCCAGCCTTGGCTCCTATTCCTCCCATGTTCTCAGGCCCTCCCCTCCCCAGGTCCTGCCCACTTCTGGGCCAGGTAAGCCTGTCCTTCAGGGTCAACCCTGCTCTCCCACCCCGGGGCGGGGGCTGGGGCTGGCAGTCTGTGCAGAACACTGGGTGCTCATACTCTGGGGCTTGAGGTCGCTTGGCCTGGCTGTGCCTCCGGAACTGTGCATGGAGGCAAGGAGCAGGCTGTGCTGGCCTCGGGCTCTGGACTGTGGAGAGTGGCCTCAGCCATCCATGGCTCTCCTACAGGGATTGCTGTGGGCCACATTTACTACTTCCTAGAGGATGTCTTCCCCAACCAGCCCGGAGGCAAGAGGCTGCTGCTGACCCCCAGCTTCCTGTGAGTGCTAGAGATGACAATTCTCCCACTATCCTCCCTCAGACGGCTCCCTACACCAGTGGGGACGCCTGCTGGCCTCAGCTCAGCGTGGGCCCCTCCCTACAGGAAGCTGCTACTGGATGCCCGACAGGAGGACCCTGATTACCTGCCCCTCCCGGAGGAGCAGCCAGGACCCCTGCAGCAATGACCCTACCCAGGGCCAGGGCCAGCCCCAACCCCAGCAGCCTGTTTTCCTGGCCTCTGGCAGGCCTCCATTCCACCCCTAACTCCCGCTTACAGGAGAGCAACCTGTCCTGGAGATGGGGCTGGTGCCCAGGGCCTGCCCAAATAAACAGAATGACCTGCATCTCTTTGCCCACAGCACTGGCTCCCTGCCTTGGCTGGCCACATCCTTCCACGCTGGGCAGGTGTTGCTGGCCTTGACCTAGGGCCACCAAGCCTGGTCTGCCCTCTCAGACCAATTGTAGGTGGTAGGATGAGAAGCCCAGAGGGGGTCAAGAACCTGCCCACAGTTGCCCAGCAGCTTTGAGCTCACAGATGGCATACTCGGGGTTCTCAGTCCAGCTTTGCCAATGCCTTAATGGAGTCTTGGGCAAATCCTACCTGCACTGATCTCTGCTCAGGGCCAGGCAGCAAGGGGCTGGCCAGGTCTCATTGGCTGGGGCCTGGACTGGGATGTCCCCGTCATGCCAAGCCCAGTTTGCAGGGGCTCCTGCCCATGGTACCCTCAGGCTGATGCCTCACTTGGCTCCTTCTGTCCCTCAGTGGCAACAAGTGGACCTTTGCCCCACTTTCTAGCTGAGCAGGCAATGGACATGCCCAAGGCTCCATGGGGTCAGGTGCAGCAGAGGGCCAGGACCAGGTCCTCGGCCCTTTCTGCGATCCCAAAGCTTTGAGAAATTTTCACCTCGGCAGAGTTCTACAAAGCTCTCTCCCTTATGTTTTTAGCTGAGAACCATGGGAGCCTGATCTGATCCCACAGCTCACTTTTTTCTTTGGTAAAGTGGGCACCAGACACCCTGGCCAACTTTCCTCATTGCCCTAGACCAGTTGGAACTCTGGTTTATTCCTGGATGATGAGCAGCATAGGGGCTCCTCCAGCCACAGGCTGTCACATTCATGGATGGCCCAAGTATTCACCATGGAGTCTAAGTTTGTAGGGAACTGTGTGGAGTCACAGCTTGCTCTGCAGTGCTCCAAGGGAGCACTCAGCCCCTGGGCGGGCCTGGTGGGCTGGCCTGCCCAGAGGGGCTGAGGCGGGCAGTTTCACTCCATCCCACCAGTTGTAGGGGCACATGGACCAAGCAAACCCTTCAGCAATGGAGCCCACTTGTCTCCAAGGCCAGCGAAGCCTGGGCCTGGAATCTTCCTCTTTGTTCAGGGCCTTCCAGTGAAGCCCAACCATCTCCTTGCTGTGGAGCTCCAGCAAGTTGCACTCCTGGATGAAGGGCAAGGGGCTTGAGTACAAACTTCCTGGGAGGTAGGAGCTGTCATGTCCCAGGACAGGATCATAGGACCCCCAGCCCAGACGGCCAGGCCCATCTACCCCTATTATCCTGGCAATCAAGACCCCAATTCCTACCCAAGAGCTCTGCCCTTGGCCAGTGTGGGGCTCAGGTTGGAAGCCAGGTGGCATGATGCTCCTGCCATGCTCCTGGGGAGCAGAGCAGCCCTGACCTGACAGGGGACACCTGGCAGCAGCTGAAGGCACCAGCCCAGAGCTGGGGGTCTGTTCTCTTCGGTAAGACTGCAGCTATGTGCCCAATTCACCAAGCACTGCTCGGCTCCACGAGGAGACCCACACATGCCACCCGCACGCAGCCCACATCCCTTCTGTAGAGTGGGGACACTTCCACATGAGACAAGGATGCAGACGGGGCAAGCAGCTCACTGGAGGCAGAGGTGAGGAGAGGCCCAGGGCTACGCCTCCTTCTCAACACACCACATCCCCCCACGGCTGGCCCTAGGCAGGCGTGCTGCTCCACGCGCCTCATGCCTCACAACCGACCTGAGAGAGAAGAGCTGGCCTGGCCCATGGCGCCAGCCAGGGGTGCAGCTGGAACAGCCAAGCATGGGCCCTCGGGCACTCAGGCTGCTGACACCCCTGTAGCACCCACAAAGGATATGGCTGCTGCAAGGGACTCCAGAGAAGCAATGCTCTGGGGCGGGGCGGGGGGGGGAAGCGACAACAGTCTGGACACAGCAGAGCCCAAGGACAGCAGGAAAGCCTAAGCAGCTTCACAAGGCCAAGCAAAGGAGGCGTGGTGGGGCTGTCACTGCAAGGTAAGCGGGCCTCCTGCCCTCTGAGCCTTGTGACCTCACTTCTGTCCGTTGGTACGAGGACGGCACAGGTGGCGGGCGGAGGGCCTGAGGAAAAGCACACTGTGCTGCCGTTGGCCTTGGATGCAGCCTTATCAGCCCCGGCCTGCCCAGCTGGGGCTCTGAGGCACAGAAGGGCAAGAGGCCTGGCATGCCAACCTTGGCCATACACCACCCCAGCCAGACCCTGCTCCTCGTCCCCTTTCTTATTTTTATGCTACCACTTTGAAAAAATGGAACATGACCTGTTGTCTTTATTTAAAAAGCGTTGCTAGCCCTACCTGGGGCTCCTATACAAAAACAAAACACAACCCAAAAAGGAGGCCTCTCTCTGACCAGAGACTTGGGTGGGGACTGGGGCTCAACAAATGGAATGTGTGCCCAGGGAAGAGTGAGCGGAAGCCCTCCCCACACCCCATGCTCCTCAGAATAGCCCCGGCCTGCCCCCTTGGCCGCCCTCCTTGCCAGAAGATGAAGGAGAGGCGGTCCGATCTTCTGAACGCTCCGTGGGAGCCATGCACCGATGGGCTGGTTACCAGGCTGGGGCAGTGTTGGCAAGACGCCTCATTCGCCTGCAGGAGGAGAGTAGGCGGTGACCCAGATCCCCCCAGGGGATCGCTAGTGCAGCCAGGGGAGTGGGGACAGAGAAAGGACACGGAAAGGGGGGGGGATCCCCAGCCCCTCGCTCACTCTGAGCCTGTGTGCTGCGTAAGGCCCTGAGGCTGCCGTCTCTCCAGCTTGCTCAGGTCCTGTCTACCTCTCCAGGGCTCCAGACACATAGGTCTGGGCTGTGGTCAGACCCAACCTAAGGGCTTAGTTTTGTTCCCGGCAGGGACACCCACCCAGGGGCTAGATTGTGACTTATCACTCAGGGGCCTGCCTCTGGCCACTTGGTACCCTCCCAGAAACCAGGTCACCGGGTCCCTCCCCTGCCTTCAAGACAAGTACCTTTGGGCAGAGCCAGCTATAGGGGGCCTGGGGGTGGGGTGGAGGGTACCTTGTGTTCCTGTCCTGGTCGCGGATCTTCTTTTCCATCTCGGCATCTGTCAGAGTCTCCAACAGCGGGCACCACTGGTCAGCGTCACCTGTGTTCCGGATGGCAATCTCCACCGTGGGTAGGGGGTTCTCACTGTGGGCCGGGAGGTAGTAACTGCTAGTGCACAGAGTAGCAGCTAGAAAGGCCCCCAAAAACCAGTGTCCACCCCCCTGCCAGAACACTGGAGCCAGGGCACGGCAGGAAGGCCCACGCCTTTCCTGCCACCTCCTCCGCCTCCTCCCTACCGAGCCGTTTCCATGCCCGGCTCCTCAGAACAGCACTCCTGAGAGGAGTGGCCTGGTCATCACCTGTCACGCAAACCTCAAGGCAGAGTCACTGGAGATGCCAGGTCCCCCCACAACAATAGCTTCTCTTCAAAGCACTCTCAAATAGGCCTTTTGTTGCTGCTTAGGTGTCTCTGGTCTATAAGCCTGGGGAGGGCATTCCCCATGACCAGGGTTGCTGGGGAGGCAGGGGAGGGCGGTCTACCCCACTCAGTGCCCACGGCCAGGACCCACCAGCCTCGACGCCTCCTCACTGAAAGCTGCTGGGCCAGCCTGCTCCTGAATATTCTGCACACTTGCCCCTCAGCCCACTTCACTGGCCCAACTAAATCCCAGAGAGCTGGGCTATTTGCTTAGGACAGACAGCTGGGCCTGGGACCCTTGTCCCCTGATCACTACAATCCATGGCCCCTCAGTGACCACCCCGATGGCTACCTGTGCACCCTCTTGCCAAGGAGACACAGTGTGGGTGTGTGTGTGTGGGGGGGCAGGCACACACAGGAGCACCATGGGAGGGAGGACACAGCTGAGCTGCCGCCTCTCTGGGCCTTGGTTTCCAAGCCTATGTGACAGGAGGCTGAAGAGGCAAGGATGCTTCAGAGCTGACAGCTCAAACTCCTGGCCTGGGAGGCAAGCCTCAGAGCGTGGCCCTAACATTGACCTCTCCCACCCCCTTCCCACCTTCACCACCCCAGCCTCACCAGGCCCTTTTCTCCCTCCTCCAGCTGGGTGGCCTGCACCTGTGTCCCGAGGCTCAGCACCCCCAGAAGGCTAGCCCTGCTCCACTGCAGCCCTATCGGGTGTCTGCCCACCTGCATAACACGGCTCGCTCTGGGAGGAGTAAAGGCAGGCAGGGCCCAGGGGAGGCACCTGGAGGACACGGACAGAATAAAAGGGGACGGCCCCTGATCGGGCGGCCCTGGTTTTGATACTTCATCTGGGAAACAGAAACAGTGTCACGGCTGTGAGAGCTTTTCGGAGGATTACTATTATTTAAAGCAGCCCATGTATGTCCACCAAAGGAGCTCCCTAGGGGCCAGGCGCCTTGTCACGGAGTCTCCCTGTAACCTGTGCCCAAGGTTGTGAGTGGCCCACTGGCAAGGGGCGTCCACGCAGGCCTGACCAGAGGCTCTGCTCCTCATGCTGCCAGCTGACCCACAGCAGCCGAGGGCCTGCTCCGGCCTCCCCTGTGCTACTCTCCTCAGCCGGAAGTCCCAGCTCGTGGGCTGAGGCTGCCACCACAACCCAGGGCTACCCCTGGCTCCTCTGCAGAAGTGGGACTCACCTCTTGCTGCCGAAGCTAGGCCCCGAAGCCAGGCCCCGAAGCCCCAGCTTGTGCTGGTGACTCAGAGGCCAGTGACAGGGGCAGCACCAAGCCCCCACCCGTGCTTCCCCAAGGCCAGCCCTCCTCAGCAGCTCCTGACAGCTCTTCTGCAGCCAGGGTGGTGGTTTGGCAATCCTCAGCCCCCCAGCCACAGACCCAAACATCATTCCTCACCTCAAGGGCTCCCGGCCGCCTTCCTCGGGAGGAAAGACATGAAAGGCGCCAAGCCCACGCTGAGGGGAGCAAAACATGTTTTTCTCTTAATTTAAACAAGAGCTCATGAGTAGGTCCTGGAGGCTCCTTTGTTTACCTCCCCTTGGCTCTGGGAAGATTCCACTCCAGTCGGTTTGTTCTAAAATAAGAACTAGCTCGATCCAACCCTGTAAGAATGGGCCTAGAGCCAGCAGGCCTGCCTCGGGTTTGGGACAAATACACAGGCGGGGGAGCCACCTCGCCTCCCACTCCTCTGAGCGGGTTCTGCATCATGGCTTCAAGGTTACCTGGGATCACAGATGCTCCTACCACCCTGCAGAGTCCAGATGGGGACACAGAGCCTAGGCAGGGGAGGGCTGTGGCTGAGGTGACAGACGGCCCGGGGCCACAGCTTGTAGGGTTATCTTTGGGTGATCTTACAGTTACGCCCTCACGTGATACAAAATGACCGTCAAGGAGCACTACTATGCCCACTTCACAAAGGAGAAGGACAGAATCTTGGAGGGAAATGACCTGCCCACGGCCACTCAACTGGGAGCAGGGGGAGACAAGACTTGACATCACCCTCCTCTTCATGGTCAACGGATTTTTACATGGTGCCAAAGTCCACAAAATGGGGAAAGAGCAGTCTTTCCAACAAACGGCGCCGGGGCAAGATGACCTGCTGGGTTAGGCAGTGGTTTCGTAGGCATCTCATTAAAAAGAGCACAGGTGGGGGCTCCTGGCTGACTCAGCTGGTGGAACATGCAACTCTTGATCTCGGGGTTGTGAGTTCGAACTCCACGCTGGATGCAGAGATTACTTAAAAATAAAATCTTACAAAAGAAAGCACAGGCAACAAAAGAATAAATTGGACTATGTTAAAACTTTAAACTTTTGTGCTTCAGGGGCACCTGGCTGGCTCAGTCAGTGGAGCGTGAGACTCTCAATCTCGCGGTTGTAGGTTCAAGCCCCACCATGCTGGGTGTGGAGAATACTTAAAAAATAAATAAGTAAAATGTAAAACAAAAAAAAATAAAACTTTTGTGCTTCAAAGGACACTGTCATGAAAGTGGAAAGACAACCTGCAAAGTGGGAGAAAATATCTGCAAATCCTATCTCTGATAAGGAACTCGTATCTAGAATATATAAAGAACACTTACAACTCAATAATAAAAATACAAATGACCCAATTAAAAAACAGGGGACTTGAGGGCGCCTGGGTGGCTCAGTTGGTTAAGCGACTGCCTTCGGCTCAGGTCATGATCCTGGAGTCCCGGGATCGAGTCCCGCATCGGGCTCCCTGCTCAGCAGGGAGTCTGCTTCTCCCTCTGACCCTCTTCCCTCTCGTGCTTTCTATCTCTCATTCTCTCTCTCTCAAATAATAAAATCTTAAAAAAAATAACAGGGGACTTGAGCAGCCATTTTTCCAAAGGTGATATACAAATGCCCAATGGCACCCGAGAAGATGCTCAAGGTCATTAGTGGCCAGGGAAATGCCAATCAAAACCATGAGATCCCCCTCCCGCTTCCCCTAGGATGGCTAGAATTAACAAGTCAGATAACAGATGTTGCTCGAGGATATGGAGAGACCAGAAGCCTGGCTCTGCTGGCTGGAAAGGAAAATGGGGCGGCTCCTCTGGGAAGGAGTTGGGCAGTCCCTCCAAACACTAAACATAGCTATCACGCGACCCAGCAATTCCACTCCTAGCATCTACCCAAGAGCACTGAAAAGAGGTGTTGAAAAAAGAACTTGTACACAAATCCTTGCAGCACTACTCTTTAACAGCCAAAAAGTGACAACAACCCAACTGTCCATCAACTGCTGACTGGGTAAATAAAATAGGGTCCATCTGTATGACAAGATCTTAACCCCAAAAGGGAATGAGGCTCCGATACAGGCTACCACAGGGAGCCGTGATACTAAGAAGCCAGCCACAAAAGACCACGTGTTCTAGGATTCTATTTATATTGAGTACCCCGAACAGGCAAGGCGATGGAAAGCAGATCAGGAGGTGCCCAGGGCTGAGAGCCGCGGGGGCAGGGCGATGGCCGGGAAAGGGGGTGAGGCTTCCTTTGGGGTGATGGAAACGCTCTTGAACTGTGATGGCTGCGCCACTGCAGATCCTACAAAGCTCATGCTAGCTGGCTGGACTGTCCCGTACGTGCACTATACCTCAAGGAAGTGGTTCTAACAACGGACAAGCAGGCAAGCAAGCGCTGCAGCTGTCAGGTGGGCAGAGTTCCAGGAGTAACCTCTGTGGCTCCTGGTCCACAAGTCCAAAGTGACCCTGGTGTCTCTCAACCCTGAAACGCACCAGTGACACCTGCATCTCTGTCCCGCATCAGGCCCAGCTGCCAAGTTCTCTGGCAGGTTCCCTTGCCTGTCCCCAGCTTCCTCCCAGCTGGCACCCTGCCCGGCCACCTCCCTCCGGGGTTTCATGCTCCCTGCCGATTACCTTTGGTGGCCACACACAAGTCTCCTCTACTAGACAGCGTACTGTTTCTTCTCTGCCCCCAGTCGCAGGTACAGGAGGGGCCGGGAACTTACTGATGCAACTTTCCTCACAGGTAGCGGCTCGCGGGTTTGGGTGGACGTCTGATAGCCTCGCATGGGCTGCTCAGCCCAGGCCCTTCCCGTGGTGGAGCCCTGTCCCCTCCTGCCACTCACCATCTTTGTTCCATTCCGCTGGCCCCCGGACATCTATGTCTTGTTCCGGTTCAGCTATCTAGGAGCTTGGGGCCCCCAATCTATTTGCCACATGCCACGCCCCCTCCTCATGCCTGCCCACATCAGGCCTGCTCCTCCCACAGCTGAAAGGAAGTCTGTTCTCGGCCCTGGCTCCCTTGACTTGTCTGTGGGCATTCTGCCTCCATTCACACATGCCCTGTGACCAGCAGCTCGCCTTGCTCCACCGCGGACACAAATCAGTGCCACCATCACTGAGGAAGGCACTACAGCCCGACACACTGGGCTCGGTCTGGGAGCAGACAGACTGCACTGGCTTGCAGGAATTCAGAGCATTTACAACACAGGATGATGGAGGCCCAGGATTTAAAGCCCCTTTTAAGGAGTCACGTGACTTAGCAGTTGCCAAGCTTTGAGTGTAGCAGAGACCAGGCCGGAGCTCCTGGTCCCACCCTCCATAGACCAACTGGTCCCTGGTCCTGGAGACATGGTAGCCCACTCTACTCTCCCCAGGCAGCGGTCCAGAGAGAAGGACCGATATTGATCTCCTTGGGGAGAGTCAAGAGTGGTTGGAGGGGTGCCTGGGTGGCTCAGTGGTTAAGCGTCTGCCTTCGGCTCAGGTCATGGTCCCGGAGTCCTGGGATCGAGCCCCGCATCGGGCTCCCTGCTCCGCGGGAAGTCCCTCTCCCAGTCCCCCTGCTTGTGTTCCCTCTCTGGCTGTGTCTCTGTCAAATAAATAAATAAAATCTTAAAAAAAAAAAAAAAAAAGCGGTTGGAGCTCCCAAAGGATGGCGTGGTGCAGCAGTGATAATGTGGGTCAGGGTCAAGAGACAGAAGTTGCAGTCCCCTTCCTTGCTTGCCTTAGAAGGCCACAGTTCTGTTCCCTGGATGATGAAGCCAGCCTCTGACCCTAAGCTCCCCTTCCTGTCCTGCAAGCTCTCTCCAGAGTGTCCAGCTGCCCAGGCCACACACAGCACACACGACGGGCCGGGCCTAGCAGGAGGAGCTCAAGAGGCCTGGTCAGCTGGGAAAACACAAGCAGCCGTCCCGATGCCAGAGAGGGGCTGAGGCTGCCTCCCAGATCCCAGGCAGGCTGTGTTCCGCAGGCTGGGGCTGCTGGCAGGGGGATGTGTGCTCACCCCGGTCTCTGGGAGGTGGCCCTGCCTTCCATCCCGAGGACGTGAAACCTGCATACTCAGCACTCGCTGAGTGCAGCGGCCCAGGGCTCTGCGATGCCCCCCATCCACCCGGCTGGAATTCATTAAGTGGCTTCTGAGATGGGGGGGGCGGGGGGGGATCATCTGTAAGTCCTGACCTGCCGCCACCAGGGACTCCCGAAGGGGGGTCTGCTCTGGAACTGTCTGGCACACTGCCGACAGCCTGAAGCCTTGGCGGGGGCTTTTAGGAGGACGCCTGGGATCACCCCAGAATCAGAGCAGGAGGGACACCACCACATATCCCACCACCCTCCGGGTCTCGCTGCTTTGAGCAGCATGACAACCCCATCCCACACAACATCTGCCAGCCAAATGTGGATTCTGACCCAATCAGCATCTCGGGGCTAAGGTACCTGGGGTCGATGTTACTCCCATGACCTGTACCACATCACCACCTCCCAGGACCCCAGGGGGCACTCCAGGGAGCGAGGCCACCCCAGACCGGTCTTCAGGCCCATCGGCCTTGGCTCAAGTACAGCATGAACGGACATGCATGGCCACACCTCCAGCCAGACTCTTCACAAGAGCAAGACGCCTCCTCCCAGGCAGGGCCTGGACCCTGTCTGTGAAGCGAGACCACCTGGTCGGCAGGGCTGCTGGGAAGTTACGGGAGGGAACATGTCTCAGCCCGGATGCCGGGAGTGCAGGCGGTGCTTGGACCCCCACGGAGCTCAGTGGTTTCCCAGGGCCAGGATCTCAAGGCCTGAAAGTGTACGGTCATTCCTTCTCTCTTGCTCAGATTTACAGGAAGCAGTCAGAAAGCAGTCTCCTGGGATTTCTGGGAAAATCAGCTGAGACACAAACATACTCACGAGCTCCATTAACTGTCCTATCTTTGCAAAAAGACCTCGGTACGGGCTCCTCGTGTGCCATTTTAGGCTCCCGTCCCTGAGTAATGATTGCCAAATGTAGACAATGACAGTTTGATGAGCAGAATAAATCCTAACATCCTGTTTTGATGCAGGGATACTCCATGCCACCCCCAGACTGCACTTTCCCAAGGGTTGAAAAGGAGCTCAGGGAACAGGATGTGGCTCTTTATCTTTCATGGCCCCCAGGTCGGGGTCCAGCCAACATGGGTGTTTGACTAGTCTCTGACTTAATGATGGCGAGCTAGAATAGTAGAAAGAAACTGCTGGGGACGCCTGGGTGGCTCAGTCATTAAGCATCTGCCTTCGGCTCAGGTCATGATCCCAGGGTCCTGGGATTGAGCCCCACATCGGGGTCCCTGCTCTGCGGGAAGCCTGCTTCTCCCTCTCCCACTCCCCCTTGCTTGTGTTCCCTCTCTCACTGTGACTCTCTCTGTCAAATAAATAAATAAAATCTTAAAAAAAAAAAGGAAAGAAACTGCTGGAGATCCTTGACTCTCATGAGCTGGGGAGGGCTGTGTGGAGCAGCCCTTGTTTGAGATAGAAGGCCAGTCCATCGGATGACAGCTCCTGGGGTGGGCGATCCGTCCCTAATGGGGGGAGGAGTGTGGGCGAGAGTACAGAGGCGGCGGGGCGGCAGGGTGCAGAGGGGCTGCTGGTAGCCAAGTGTGGCCCTGGGCAGTTGCAGTGGGGGGATGCTATTGGGTACAGAGAGGGCAGATACACCACCCCCTTAGAGCCAACCCCACCCCCGTGATGAGGTTGGGGAGTCCTGCTACTGAGACGCATGAGGCAGGAGGAGTGAGCCAACAAAGGGCCGCTGAGCAGCTGAGGCTCCAGAGAGACCCGAAAGCGTCACCACACATAGGGAGCCATCTTTTCCCCAAAACGCGTCCGCAGAGGAATGAGGGCGGGGCTCATGTGGTCTCCTACCTGAAGGCATAGGTCTTCTGATGCCAGCTCAGCTGTCCCCGGATGCTGTATGCAATGGTGGTGACGAACTCCCCGCCCAGCCCCAGCTCTGAGCACAGCTTCAGGGCAAATTTCTCTGGTGAGTTCTCCTTCTCTGACATGTCCCACTCAAACTGGTCCACCAGCGAAATGTTTCCCACGTGGATGTTCAGCTGGGGCAGCAACCAAAGAACACAAGTGGGAGAAGTCAGAATGGCGCCCAGCCTCAGGAGGCCGCACGCAGGTGAGACAGCCCACTAGCGAGCCGCCAAGCCGGGCCAGACCCTGCCCACAACTTACTAGCTGAGAACAGGGGCTGGCCCTTGTCCTTCTGGCCACAGGTCCCCATCCAGAAAACGGAGATGACACCGCAGACGTACTGGGACTGCCACAAGGGGGCTCTGGCTCAAGACCTGGCACAGTCACCCATCTTACTTATTAATCAGTGTGATCACAGATGCACGCCCATAAGGCGCCCTCAAAACCTGGGTGGGCAGCAGAGGCCCACAGCCAGCCCCACCTACCACGCGCCCAGCAGACACCCTGCTGACGTGCAACCTGCCGCCAGGAGAGAGTCCGGGCCCTGCCTGTGCAGCACCCAGACCAAGACGGAACACAGCCTGAGCCCCAGGAGCTCCCCACTGACACCTGCACTCAGAACCACCATCTTTACTCGTCACGCCACAGATGAGCAGGCCTGCTCTGAAACAGGAAGGACTCATCAGGGTCTGGCTGTGTTCACTGGGCGCCGTGTCCACGAGGCTCCTTCCTATGGCTCTATGGGGCTGGGAGCACCGCTTGCTGCTCTCCAGGTAAGCAGGCCACAATGCACCTGCCCCTTCACCCTACTATCCCTGTGTGCTCAGTTTTGTTTTGTTTTTTTTTTTTTAATTTGACAGAGAGAGGGAGAAGACAAGCAGGGGGAGCAGCAGAGGGAGAGGGAGAAACAGGCTCTCCGCTGAGCAGAGAGTCCAACGTGGGACTTGATTCCAGGACCCTGGGATCATGACCTAAGCCGAAGGCAGACGCTTAACTGACTGAGCCACCCAGGTGCCCCCGTGCTCAGCTTTTTAAGACAAGGATCAGGGTGGCCACTGCTCAGGACCCACCCTGCTGCCCTCAGAGAAGCGTGAGACCCCACTCCCTGTCCCCGTTCACAAAGCCCTGCACCTCTGGATCCCGCACACCACTTTTCACTCTCTGCAAACAAGCCCCCGGTCCTTTCCCATTTCCGTGTTCTGCTCACGCTGGGCGACCGGCCAGTGATGGTTAACAGAATGGAACCAGAAGAGCTGCCTCTTGGCCTAATAGGAACCAAATGCCCAGTGAGCCCCGAGGGCATGCTGGGACCAAAAAGATGGGAAGCAGCAGGCAGCCCAAAGAAAAACATCAAACAGGGCCAAATAGGAGCAACGGGTGTAGCCGTTCATACACAGCCCCAGCAAGCCCTTGCCCCGGTTGCAACGGCAGGAGTCCTCCTGGCCACCAGGCGGCACCGTGCAGACTGGGGTGCCTGTGCCCTGCCAGTAAAACTGGCCATTAATGCTTGCATCTATTCAAAAATACAGATTGTGTGCCTACTAAGGAAGAGGCACAGGGAATGCAATGGTGAGTACCACCAACTAAACACTGTCTTCATGGGTTGACATTCCAGTTGGGGGAGAGATACCTAAGCAAGTTAATTATGTGAATGTATGGTACCTGTCAAGTGTGGCCAAGTCCTAAAGACAAAATGAGGGGAAGGACAGAAAGTGCACAGGAGGCCACGTTAGCCAGGAGGCCCAAGAAGGCCTCCCTGGGGGAGGCGGCATTTTAGGAAGAACTGAATGGGCAAAGAGCGCAGGCCCTGTGGCTCTTTGGAGAGAAGGGTCCTGGGCAGAGCTGGACCTGAGGCTGTCCGAAGGGCTCCAGCCTCCACAAGGGGCTGGAAGGCCTGGGGAGTGTTTTGAGCAGAGAAGAGACACTGACTGCCACTGAGACCTCCGCTGGAGGGAGCCATCTAGCAGTGGGCATGGTGGGGTGGTGAGGAGTGGCTGGACTCTGAGTGGGCTCAGAGACGAGGCAGGGCCAGGACCCCTAAGTAGGCATGCAGCACTGAGGCCAGGCTCCAGCCATCTCCCCAACCGCCAGCCCTTGTCACCACATGCACCTGCACGGAATGGGCCCAGTCAGCCCCGCAGAACCTCATGGCTTGACGTGTAAGAAGCACTGAGCCTCCCAGCCCCGAGAATGAGCACAGCCAACCTGAGCCAGGTGCCCAGGTAAAGGCAGCCACGTCTGGGCTGTAGTCCCAGAGTCCCCAAGAACATCTGTAAATGGCCACTCCACACTAAGGCACCCCTTCGTGAAGAGAGACACTCCTCAGGTGCCATTGCGGCCAAGATCCTGGCCCTCCACCATGTCCCAGGAGCCAAACAACAAAGAATATCCTCATAGAAGTACCCAGCTCTCCTTGAGTCCCTGTGACCCAAACCTGGGGTGTGACCTTCAGTTTCCTCACCTATAAGATGGGCGCTGTCCCCTAGGCCACCATGCCCATGAGGGCTCTGACCTGATAGACACAGCACTGTCCCATAGCAGCAAAACTTCTCTGGGCCACAGCTGTGGCCAACCTTGGTGCCAGCGATGACAGGTGGGATGGAGGGCCTGAAGGGGCCCCACAGCTGTCCAGTAGCCAAGAAAGCCTCTGGTCAGGAGAGATGGTGGCAACTCCTGGCAGATTCTCAACTGCCTGACAACTTTCTGTATGGCTGCCCACAAGCTCCATCAGGATTTAAAACAAAAAAAATTCTGAGAAAAGTATCAGGAAGCCAGCTGGTCAGACTCATGAGGACCCTGATCGTGGCCAACCCCATCCATTTGGCAGCATGTTGGTGGGTGTGGCTAACTCCATGAGGCCACTTTCCCACTACAGTTACAGGACAAAGATTCGGCACAGAGCAGAGTCCTCAGGGCCATCCTTTAGAGGTGAGAGGCTAGGCATTAAGAATGCAGGTGAGGCTCCCATTTCTGTATGAAGTTCCTCTTCTTTCTCAGTCAGGCTCTTTTTCTGCTGGTTGGCCATAATATGAAACTAAAATGGGTTAAGAAAAAGATTCGTATTTCTCTCAAAAAAATTAACCAGTGCGGCATCTGGCTGGCTCAGTCACTAGAACATGCAATTCTTTTTTTTTTTTTTTTTAAGATTTTATTTATTTATTTGACAGAGAGAGAGACAGTGAGAGCAGGAACACAAGCAGAGGGAGTGGGAGAGGGAGAAGCAGTCTTCCCACTGAGCAGGGAGCCCAATGTGGGGCTCCATCCCAGGACCCTGGGATCATGACCTGAGCCGAAGGCAGACACTTAACGACTGAGCCACCCAGGTGCCCTTTTTTTTTTTTGAAGGATTTTATTTACTTATTTGTCAGAGAAAGAGCGAGCAAGCACAAGCAGGGGGAGAAGCAGGCAGAGGGGGAAGCAGGTTCCCCGCCAAGTAAGGAGCCCAATGCAGAACTTGATCCCAGGACCCCGGGATCATGACCTGAGCCGAAGGCAGACACTTAACCGACTTAGCAATCCAGGCATCCCAGAACATACAATTTTTTATCTCAGGTCACAAGTTCAAGCTCCACATAAGAAAGCAAAGGAAAAACATTAAGGGAAACAGAAAGGAAAAAGGAAAGGAAAGGAAAGGAAAGGAAAAAGAAAGAAGAGAGGAGAGGAAAAAGAAAAGAGAAGAGAAAAGGAAAGAAAAGAAAAAGAAAAAGAAATTAACTAGTAAGGAGACTGAATGAGTAAACAAAAACTTCCCAGCAAAGAAAAGCCCTAGGTCCCAGTGACTTCACTGGCGAATTCTACCAAACACTGAAAGAAGAATTAGCACCAATCCTTTTCAAATTCTGCCAAAAAATTTAAGAGGAGAGAATATACTTCATAATTCGTTGTCCAGATACCAAAGCCAGATACAAGAAAGGAAAACTAGAGACCAATATTCCTTATACACTTGATGTAAAAATCTTAAAACAAAATGCTTGCAAACTGAATTTAGTGGCATATTAATAGAATTATATACCATGACCAAGTGGGATTTATTCTAGCAATGCAAAGATAGTTCAATACAAAAACTGACCAATGTAACACACCATATTAACAGACTGAAAAACCACATGACCACCTCAATCAATGCAGAAAAAGCATTTGACAAAATTTAACAAACTTTCATGATAAAAACACTCAACAAACTACAAAAAGAAAAAAACTACTTCAACATAATAAAATCCATATATGAAAAACCTACAATGAACATCATATTCAATGGTGAAAACCAGAAAGCATTTCCTTTAAGATCAGGAACTAACCACTTCTAGTCAACACAGTTTTGGAATTTCTAGCCAGAGAAATTAGGTAAGAAAAAGAAATAAAAGGGATCCAAATTGGAAAAGAAGAAGTAAAGTTACCTCTATTTACAAATGATGATCTTATATGTATGTAGAAAACCCTAAAGATTACACAAAAAAAACTGTTAGAACTAGTAAATTCAACCAACAACATACAAAGTCAACACACAACTATCAGCTGCATTTCTATATGCTAACCAATAAACAATCTGAAAAGAAATTACGAGAACAATTTTATGCAGAACAGCATCAAAAAGAATAAAATACTTACGAATTAACCAAAGAGATGAAAGACTTGTATAACGAAAATTACAAAACACTGCTCAAAGAAATTAAAGAAAGCATAAATAAATGGAAAGACATCCCATGTTCATGGATTGGAAGACTGAGTATTACTATAGTAACAGTAGTATTAGTAGTATAGTAATAGTAGTAGTATTAGTAGTAGTATAGTAGTAGTATAGTAATAGTATTACTATTACTATTTGGATAGTCAAGACTATCCAAATCAATTTACAAATTCATTGTAATCCCTATCAAAATTTGAATGTTTTTTGCAGAAATAGAGTAAAAACCCAGCTTAAACTTCAACTGAATCTAAAGTACCCTGAAGAATCAAAACAATCTTGAAAAAGAAGACCAAGGTTGGAAGACTCACACATCCTAATTTCAGAAGCTACAGTAATCAAAACAGTGTGGTACTGACATAAAAACAAACATATAGACCAACAAAATCCCAGAAATAAACTCTCAAATATACAGGTAAATGATTTTTTTTTTAAATATATTTTTTATTTATTTATTTGACAGAGAGGCAGAGAGCACAGGTAGGCAGAGGGGCAGGAAGAGGGAAAGGGAGAAGCGGGCTTTCTGCTGAGCAGGGAGCCCGATGCGGGGCTCGATCCCAGGATCCTGGGATCATGACCTGAGCCGAAGGCAGTCGCTTAACTGACTGAGCCACCCAGGCGCCTCCAGGTAAATGATTTTTGACAAGGGTGCCAAGACCACTCAATGTGGGAAGGACAGTCATTCCCACAGACGATGCTGGGGAAAGAGGACAGCCACATCCTTAAGAATGAAGTCGGACCCTTACCTAACACCATTTACAAAAATTAACTGAAAATGGATGGAAGACCCAAATATAAAAGCTGATACTATAAAGCTATTAAAAGAAAACTGAAAAAAGCTTATGACATTGGATTTAGCAGTTATTTCTTAGATATGAGACGAAGGGCACAGGGAACAAATGAAAAGACAAATTGTACTTCATAAAATAAAAACTTTTAAGCATCAAAGGACACTATCAAAAGAGTAAAAAGGCAACCTACAGAATGGGACAAAATATTTGCAAATCACATATCTGATAAGGTATTGATATCGACAATATATAAAGAACTTGTTAAACTCAACAACAAAAAGAACAAAATATCTGATTAAAAAAAGGCAAAGAACTTGAACACATATTTCTCCAAAGATCTACAACTGACCAATAGGCACATGTCACTAATTAATGGAAATACAAACCAAACCCACAATGAGATAACAACTCACACCAAGCAGGCACTGCAGCAGGCAGGCCTAAGACCCAAATCTCAGCACTACCACTCATCAGCTGGACAGTATGGGGCAGGTGATGTGTAACCTCTCCATGTGGCAACCTCTTTACCTGTAACACAACGGGTAAGGCAGCATCTTCCTCCAGAACTGAGGTGGGTTACTAGACAGTGGGAAGTGTGGTTGACCCAGCTAGTCCACAGGAAGAGTGTGGCACTGCTGTTCATCTCACCGTGGGCTTCCCTGCTCTGCCTGGCCGCTGGCTTCATCTCCTCTGTACCACCCAGGCTCTGTTCAACACCTGGCGGTGCCCCAAATACATCCAGAATACATCTCTTACTCAGAGAAATCAGAAATTAGCCCACAACCCTTCCTGGGGTAAATAGCCACATACTACTTTTAAGACAGCCTTCCAGAAGTCCAATCCCACAGCATGGACCCCAAAACCAGGGGGGTCCAAGGCCTCAATGTACTCTCAGCACCCTGTGACCCACCCAGGACAAGGAAGACCCCGGAGCACGGTGAAGAGCTGCCCACCTTAATGATGACACGCTGGTCTGACTGGTCCTCCAGGATGCTGTCCGTGGGATAGGACTCTATCTGCTGTCTGATGGCAGAGGCGATGGCTGGGACAAATGTCAGTGGGTTCAAATCCAGGTCATCACAGAGGATTTCTGAAAACATCTCAGGGGTCATCAGCTTCTCTGAAATCAGGAGAAAGGGCAGGAATTGCCAACTGCTTACAGGACCTAACTTCACCATGTTTGGCCCTAGCCTCCCCATCCCCTTCCTGCTCTGCTAGACATCCCCAACAAAGAATGATAACTGAGGGTGACCCTCCCAGACATGAGGCTGGGGGAGGAATCACAGGACAAGCATCATCCCCTTCTGGCCCTCATTCCACACACACAATCCTTTGATACCTTGATCTGGGACTTCTAGACTCCAGAACTGAAAGGAAATAAACTGTTGTTTAAGCCACCCAGTCTGGTACTTTGATATGGAAGCCCGAGCAAAACAGCACAGTCTCCTTCCAGGTAAGTCACTTCGAGGTCAGTGTCCCACTGGCACACTATCATTCACCAACTTCCTCCCCAATAGAGAAATCCCTGAGGTATTAGGCTGCTTGTGGCTTTTTATGGACCTTCCCTCAGTTTCTGACTCTCTGGGCAGCACATACACATAACAAGGTGACAAATATGCGGATGTAAATGGACCCTGAATCCTGGAAGTATAGCCGTACCAGGAATGAACTTGCAGGGGCCATCTGCAACTGGCCAGATTACAGCAAGGTCTCATGTGGTCAAATGTTTTCTCTCTGTTCTGCCCTGTTGTTGTAACCCAAATTTAATGGCCACGCACCACTTCTGGGATGAGCCACAGACAAGAAGAAAGTCAAGGATGAATCCCCTTATTGGTACATGGCATGATTCCATCATCAAGAACCAGGTCTGCTCAACAACTTACCCCACCATTTCCTCACTAGCCCAGAAAGGCTAGAGACCAGCCATCCTAACAGTACCATCAGGACAGACCCAGAACACTCAGCCAGTCTATGATCAGTAACTCATATAGCAAGCAGGCATAGTTAATTTTGGAGATTGCAGCATAGAGCTGCAGTGCCCTATGAAGCACCCTATGAGTACAATGTGCAGAACATTATTAAACTTTTTAGTTTGAGGTAATTATAGATTAATATGCAGTCTTGATTACTGTTGCTATATATTAAGACTTGAGACTGGGGAAACAGATTCTCCTACTTTATTCTTTTTTTTTCAAAATTGCTTTAGTTATTCTAGTTCCTTTGCCTTTCCATATAAATTTTAGATAATTTTGTCTATATGCACAAAAAGTTTTGCTGAAATTCTCACAGGAATTGCATTCAACTTGTATATCAATTTAGGGGAACTAACATCTTGAGTATTCTAATCCATAAAAATGGTATGCCTTTCCATTTATTTAGATCTTTTTAATTAATTTTATTGGTGTTTTGTAGTTTTTGGCATACAAGTCCTATACATGCCTGTTAGATATACACCAAAGTATTGCTTTTCTTTTTTTAAAGATTTATTTATTTTTAGAGACAGAGAATTCGCATGTGCATGGGGTGGGGGGCAGGGGCAGAGGGAGAGAGAATGCCAAGCGGACTCTGCACTAAACATGGAGCCCAATGCCACGACCCTGAGATCATGACCCGAGCCAAAACCAAGAATTGGTTGCTCAACCAAATGCACTGCCCAGGTGCCCCCGAGGTATCCCTTTTCTTACTGAGTGAATATAAATGGTAACATATTTTTTTTTTTTTAAGATTTTATTTGACAAGAGAGAGACACAGCGAGAAAGGGAACACAAGCAGGGGGAGTGGGAGAGGGAGAAGCAGGCTTCCCGCGGAGCAGGGAGCCCGATACGGGGCTCGATCCCAGGACCCTGGGATCATGACCTGAGCCGAAGGCAGACGCTTAACGACTGACCCACCCAGGTGCCCCAAATGGTAATGTACTTTTGAGTGTCCATGTGTTCACCAATAGTACATAGAAATACAATTGATTTTTTTTTTAAATATTTTATTTATTTGACAGAGAGAGACACAGCGAGAGAGGGAACACAAGCAGTGGGAGTGGGAGAGGGAGAAGCAGGCTCCCCATCAAGCAGGGAGCCCGATGTGGGGCTTGATCCCAGGACCGTGAATTAGTTAGAAATGTGTTACTTAACTAACAAGCATTTGCGTCCATTCTGGTTGAAGAACACATAATTTAAAATTTCAATTCTTTTAAATTTGTTGACGTTTGTTTTATGACCCATGACATGGTTTGTATGGTTTATAAGGCAGCCGCTTAATGACTGAACCACCCAGGCGCCCCAATACAATTGATTTTTGCATGTTTATCTTGTATCCTATGATGAACTCAATCATTAGTGTTAGCAGGATTTTTTGTAGATCTCTTGGAATTTTTTTTTTTAAAGACTTTATTTATTTGACAGAGAGAGCACAAGCAGAGGGAGAGAGAGGGAGAAGCAGGCTCCCTGCTGAGCAAGAAGCCCGATGTAGACTCAATCCCAGGATCCTGGGATCATGACCCGGGCCGAAGGCAGCCGCTTAACCGACTGAGCCACCCAGGCATCCCTCTCTTGGGATTTTCTATGTAGGCAACCATGTCATCTACAAATAGGGACAGTTTACTTATTTATTTTTTAAGATTTATTTTAGAGAGCGAGAGAGAGAGTGTGTGAGCAGAGGGAGGGGCAGAGTTAGAGAATCCTGAAGCAAAATCTCCAGTGAGTGCAGAGCCCCACATGGGGCTCAATCCCAGGACCCCAAGATCATGACCCAAGCCAAAATCAAGAGTCGGCCACCCAACTGACTGAGCCACCCAGGCGCCCCCAAACAGGGATAGTTGAATTTCTTTCTTTCTGATCTGTATGTTTTTTATTTAATTTTCTTGCCCGACTGCACTGGCTAGGAACAAGAGTGATGAGAGCAAACATCTTTGCTTTGTCCCTGATCACAGGCAGAAAGCATCCAGTCTTTTACCATTAAATATGTTAGCTATAGGATATTTTGTAGATACCCTTTATTAAATTGAAGTAGTTTCCCACTATTCCCATTTTTCTTAAAGTTTTTAATCAAGAATGAGTATTTTGTTAGTTTTTCTGCATCAAATTGATATCATCTGGTTTTTCTTCTTTAGTCTGTTAATATGGTGGATTATGTTGACCAATTTTCAAATATTTAACTAGATTTGCATCCCCGGAGTAACAAACCCTACTTGAGTCATGGTGTATAATTCTTTTTATATATTGCTGAATTCTGTTTACTAAATGCTTTGTTAAGGATTTATGTGTCCTGGTGCCTGGGTGGCTCAGTTGGTTAAGTGTCTGACTCTTGATCTTAGCTCAGTTCCTGATCTTGGGGTTGTGAGTTCAAGCCCTGCGTTGGGCTCCATACTGAGCATGAAACCTACTTAAAAAAAGGGGGGGGCGGGATTTATGTCTATAATCATTAAGGATACTAGTCTATAGTTTACTTTTTCTGTACTGTCTTTAGTTTTGATATCAAGGTAATACAAGTCTTATAAAATGCATTGGGGGAAAAAAAGTAAAATTCATTGGGAAGTGTTCCCGCTTCTATTTTCTGGAAAAGACTTCAGAGAATTGATGTTAATTCTTCTTTAAATGTTTGGTAAAATTCTCCAGAGCCACCATCTGTGCCTGGAAATCTCCTTTTGGGGTGGTTTTTAAATTATGAATCATACTTCTTAATAGTGATAGGACAACTCAAATTATCTATTTGATACTGAGTGAACTGTGGTAGCATATGTTTTACAAGAAATTGTTCCATTTTGTCTAAATTGTCAAATTTATGTGTGTAGAGCTTTTGTGGTACTCCCTTTTGATATCCACAGGGTCTGTAGTGATAGCCCATTTCATTCCTGAATTTGATAATTTTTGTTTTCATCTTTTGTTGTCAGTCCTGCTAGGTCTGTCAACTTTACTGAGCTTTTCAAATTATCAGCTGTATTTCATTAATTTTCTCTACTGTTTTCCTGTTTTTAATTTCACTGATTTCTGCTCTCTTATGCTCTGCCTTCTGCTCGTCTTGGTTTCATTTTGCTTTTCTTTTTCTCAATTCTTAAAGTGGGAGCTTATAGATTTCAAACTTTTCTACTGTAAACACTGATGCTACAAATTACCCTGTCAGTACTACTTGAGCTATATCCTACAAATTTTGGTATGTGATATTTTCATTCAGGTCCATGTATACATTTATTTCCCTTTAGATTTCCTCTTTGAACCATGAATTAGTTAGAAATGTGTTATTTAGCTAACAAGCATTTGCGTCCATTCTGGTTGAAGAACACATAATTTAAAATTTCAATTCTTTTAAATTTGTTGACGTTTGTTTTATGACCCATGACATGGTTTGTATGGTATATGTCCCGTATGAAGTTAAAGAGAGTATGTATTTTGCTGTGACAGACGCAGTGTTCTATAAATGCCAGATACTGTTGGTTGATGGTGTTGTTGGGTTTATATCATCTTGCTCATTTTCTGTCTAGTTATTCTCAGGTGTTGAGATAGAGAGATGTCAAAGTCTCCAATATAATTGTGGATTTGTCTGTTTCTCCTTTCAGTTCTATCACTTTTTGGTTCACAACTTTCCCAGCTCTGCTGTTTGGTGCATACATACTTAGGATTGCTATGTCTTTTTGGTGGACTGACCCTTTTATCATTAAAGTAGTCCCCCCAACCTTTATCTGTGGCTTTGCTTTTCACAGCCTGTTATCTGTAGCCAACTTTGGTCTGGAAGCAGATGATCCTCCTTCTGATGTATCATCAGAAGATCACAGTAGGCTAATCCTACACCTCAATTCATCTCATCACGTAGGCATTTTATCATCTCCTATCGTCACAAGAACAAGGGTGAATACAGTACACTAAGATATTTTCAGAGAGACCATGTTCATACAACTTTTATTACAGTATTGTTATAATTGTCCTGTTATTGCTAATCTCTTACTGTACCTAGTTTATAAGCTAAACTTTACCATAAGTAGGAATGCTTAAAAAAAAAACATAATATATATAGGATTTGGCATTACCTGCAGTTTCATGCATCCACTGGGGGCCTTGGAACATATTCCCTGTGGACAAGGGGGTACTACTGTATTTAATCTCTCTACCTGTGGTAATTTGCTTTGCTCTTAAGTGTGCTTTATCTGATACTAATGCTACTGTTTCTGCTTTCTTCTGATCAATGCCTGCATGATGTATCTTTTCCTATGACTTTACATCCAACCTACCTAATCATTATATTTGAAGTAAGTTTCTTATAGATAATATATCATTGGGTCATTTAAAAAATGCACTCTGCCAGAGGTGCCTGGCAGGCTCAGTTCTTGGAGCATGTGACTTGATCTCAGGGTTGTGAGGTCGAGCCCCAGGTTGGGTGTAGGGGTTACTTTAAAAAACGAAGTGTTAAAAACCATGCACTCTGGGGGCGCCTGGGTGGCTCAGTTGTTAAGCATCTGCCTTCAGCTTGGGTCATGGTCCCAGGGTCCTGGGATCGCGCCCCACATCGGGCTCCCTGCTCAGTGGGAAGCCTGCTTCTCTCCCTCTCCCTCTCCCCGTGCTTGTGATCCCTCTTTCACTGTGTCTCTCTCTGTCAAATAAACAAATAAAATCCTAAAAAAAAAAATGCACTCTGAGAATCTCTGCTTTTTTTTAACTGGTAATTACTGACCTATTAAGTCCTACATCTGCCACTTTGTTTTTGTTTTTCCTGTTTTCTTCTCTTACCTTCCTGTGGGTTACTTGAACGTTTTTTAGGACTCCATTTCAATTTATCTACAGTATTTCTGAGTATATCTCTTTGTGTAGAATTTTTAAGTGTCCTTCTCTATGTAACATCATATACACATAACTTACCAGTCTACTGGTTTCTTCATTTTTACCAATTCAAGTGACGTACAGATACCGTACCTCTCATCATGTCCCTTTACATTTCCTCATTTATAATGTAAGTATCTTAAAATATTTCCTCTACAGGGCGCCTGAGTGGCTCAGTTGGTTAAGCGACGCCTTCGGCTCAGGTCATGATCCTGGAGTCCCGGGATCGAGTCCCGCACTGGACTCCCTGCTCAGCAGGGAGTCTGCTTCTCCCTCGGACCCTCCCCCCACTCATGCTATCTCATTCTCTCTCTCAATAAATAAAATCTTAAAAAAAAAAATTTCCTCTACATACATTTAGAACCACATCAGACAGCATTACCACGTTTGCTTCAACTACTAAAAATAATTTAGAAATCTCAAGAGATGAAAATAAGATTATATTTACCCGTATGTTTGCTTATCGTATTCTTTCTTCCTTCCTGATGTTCCAGTTTCTTTTATCATCTCCCTTTCTTTTTTTTTAAAGATTTTATTTATTTGAGAGGGAGCGAGTGAAAGCACAAGCAGGGAGAGGGGCAGAGGGAGAAGCAGACTCCCCACTGAACAGGGAGCCTGATGCAGGGCTCGATCCCAGGACTCTGGGATCATGACCTGAGCCGAAGGCAAACACGTAACCGAATGAGCCACCCAGGCACCCTATCATCTCCCTTTTTTTAGGTTAGGTCTCAAGACGATAGTATTCCTTCATCTGAGGATTTCCACTTCATTCCTGAAGGGTATTTTTACTGGGTGTAAGATTCAAGATTGGCAGTCCTTTTCTTCCGGTGCTCGAAAAACCATGTGCCATTTCCTCCAGCCTCTGTGGTTTTGGATGAGAAATCTGCTGTCATCCCAGGTCTTTCCCTCTAAGTCAGGTGTTCTTTTTCTTGGCTCTCAAGATCTTTGTGTTTAGTTTTCAGAAGTTCAACTATGATGAATCTTGGCATGGATTTCCTTGGGTTTATATTGCTGGGATCCACTCAGCTTCCTGAATCTGTCATTTGGGGATTTTAGGCATCCAAAGTGAACACATGGACACAAATCTCTAGAACCTGCTTCCTGTAGCCATGCCTGACAGAGTCAACCTGCAGGGCCCGGGTCACCCCTGGCCTGGGTGCAGGAGCAGATTCCACACCTTCTCCTGAGGCAGCTCAGGGCCCTGCCTTGGGATCCCCTCAACCCCTGGTGGGGCCATACTGACATCCATGTGTTCTTGTTCAGCAGCTCATCCTTTCTGGAGGATTTCAACATACCCCAAGGAGGCTGCTATTGAGACAGATAATGTCATACTTCACCAGCAACTCACAGATAAGCTCTCTTTCATGTCCTTCTAAGAGAAGATAACCTTGAACTCGTTGTTAACAGATACCTTCCCAAAGTTTGCTGGAGACAAATCCTGGTTATGAAGAATGTCCTGGTTCTGAAGGATATGTAGTTCATTCATGCCGCTCAACATTTTTAGTCCCTTTGTGATAAAATGTCTCATACCCACCTTTATGGTTACTTGAAATTTCAAAGTAAATTAGATATGACCACGAAAAACACCAGCGATTTTGAACATGCAATTTTAACTCTCATGCCAGGGGCACAGCTTCCTAACCACCAGTTAAGAATTACAGCTCTTAGATATGCTAAATACCACTGTGGGCTGAGGAAGAGTTCACGGAACAAAATTATTTTGGTTCTCCAAGGGTTTGTACCAAATTATATTTCGTGGGGGATATGGTATGCTACCGGAGGACTCCTTTGAGGAACAGCCTGGAGAAACTCATGGCAGGGTTCCCAGACAGATATAGGTCTTCACTGAATTATACTGTGTCCTCCTCCTGAGGGCCAGAGAGAGAGGTTCTCTTGGATTCAAGTACTGTGTATGATTTTGTCACTTCTGAGCCATGAGTGGCTGCTCATCTTGACCACACTGGGAACTGCAGAACCGATCATCCTGTCGCTCTCTGCCTGGTTCTAAAGGTCCGAGCGTCATGCCCTGCCCTCACAACGTACACCTACTCAACTGTGGATATGACCCAGAGCACTGGCTTCATTTGGTATCTTCTTGTTTCATTTTCCGGTTCATCCGATTTTTCCTCACGACATCTTTTGCATTTGCTTTGTTCTTTCCTACCAAGCGTTCTCACGTAAGATGCCTTATCCCTTTTGGACTAGGGTGGGAGTATAAATAGTCTGAGCTTTCTACATGTTATCAAAAGAAAAGTAACATGCTAATACATGTAGGGAGTCAACTGGAACAGCTAAGTTCCTATGCCATGGCCTATGGCCAGGTTCTATGCTAAATGTTGTAATAAAAGCAGTGATAAAAAACATGCTCCCTGACCTTAAGGGATTGAAATGGGGGGAGAGAAAGATGAATTAACAATTAACTCTAACAAACGCCAGCTGAGATCAGCAGAGTAACAGAAATGTGCGGCACAGGCCACCGCCTGGCGCTCATCAGCTGTCCTGTCCCCATGTTGGAGTATCACCAATGCACCACCCCTGCCCTGTCTACACTCATTATAACGTCCTGGAACCCCTCATCACATCTCCCCTTGGCCACATCCTCTCTCACCAGCTAACCTGTGGGCCCTGGAGGACAGGCACCCGGCTGTCAGGCCTTGTTCCCAGAGCTGGGCAGAGGCCCTTGGACTCAGGCCTGGCACATCAAGTGTCAGGACATGACCAAAGGAAGCAGGCTAATGCCTCCAGAAAGTTCCAGGCAACCACGTATCAACAACTACACACGTTCCTCCCTGAGGAAATCCCCTGTGGGAGAAAAAAGTTGTTAGCGGTTACGTTCTCTGCCCTGGAAACGTCTAATAGCAGAAGGAGTTCTAGCAAACAGAGGCACTACAACTCATCAGAAAATTGTGCGCCAATTATGAAGCCCAGAGAAACCAGGAAGATACTTCTAAGCGAAGAAAAATAAAATTATACTTGCACTATAACTACAACTCTGTTAAATATGTTTGCACGTGCAAGTGACTGGCAGGGAAACTACTAGTAGGGACGGTGAGATTCCGGGGATTCTCAACTTTTCTTCATTTAAAAATGATACTCACTGGGGTTTTTTCATTGTTGTTGTTTGGTTTTGGTCTGAATATAAATAATGTGCTTGTTGCAGAAAGTCTGAAAGATTCAGGAAAACAATAAAGAAAAAATAAACACGAGTGCAATCCTCTTTCCTGAATGGGATAAGGACGAAACGCTCTGGAGAACATCTCCTATGCTTTCGCTTGCTCATTTGCACAGAGTCATGCTCAGATTTGAGGAGCCAGGCAAGAGCAGGCACCTGACCCAGGACTTATAGAGCGAGGATGGGAAGAGGAAGAACAGACAGAGTGAGGGCAGACCTCGAGGGGCTGAGAGAGGTACGAGCACATACACACAGCATCGTGAAAGACCAGAGGGGTGCACAGGGCTGATGGGAGATGCGTGGAGGGCCATGCCCCCAAACTGGTCTAAGCAGCATCAAGGTCGTCATCGAGCTCTGTGGACAGGCAGCCTGCATCGTGACTGGCCCCTGACCCACCCAAGCTCACTGGGAGAAGAAGGAACCTGAGGCTCATGTGCCCAACCCACAGGAAACGGGGGCAGAAGCAGGATTTGAACCCAGAGTCCACACCCTCCCCATCTACGCCATGAGGCTCTGAATGTCGCGTTCAGAGTCCAGGATCCCAACGAGCAGCAGGCAACAAAAAGGACTGTTCACACCGTAGCCGGCCCTGAGCTGCGCACAGCCCAACCGCCCACATACCATTCATGTTCCAAGTAAAGGCATCTCGAAGCTTCTGCCCGTCGATCTCCATGTCCAGCCGGATGGGGACCAGCACCTCAGGCTGGGATGCGTTCTCATGGATCACAGCTGGGTCGTGGTCATCAAAGCTGGAAGTGAAGTGGCAGCAAAGTCAGCAAGGGGTGCTGCGGGTCTCCACGCTCGGGGCCTCCCTCTCTGCACTGCTGGTCCCTGCAAGTCTGGCGAGAGGGGAAAAGCCCACCTCTTATGGCGACTTGTCAACTAAGGGCTGAGCCAGCAGAGACGAGCCAGCAGGGGTCCTGCAGCCACAGGGGCAGAGCTCCACACTTCAAGGGCACACAGGGAAGGGAGAGGGAGTTGCAGCCTTGGGCAGTGAGAGATGACCTTGACGTATCCCAAAGGAAAGGAGATTTAAGTCCCAAAGCAGGCCGAACTTTCACAAAAAACTGTAGGAAAGGAAGGGTATTTCCAGAAGAGGAAATACTTGAGCAAAAGCCAAGGGGCAAGAGCGGTGAGGAGTTGTTGAGGGATCGAGAGCAAGAGCACCGAAGGCAGGGTGCAGTTTGGGCAGGGGGGAGCAGCGTGGAGGACGCAGAGATGCTACAGGGTGTCCAGGTACCCATGCTTCTCCACCTCAGGCTACAGAATCCAGCTTCTACCCTGAGGGAGCCCCAGGAGAACCCAGAGCAAGGCAGTTCTGTGGTCATATCTGTATTGTAGGCAGACAAAGAGGGAACAGGTTGGAGTGGTGAGGCAGATGGGGGAATGCCGGTGGGTAAGGGGACCCTAAGGGTGTCTGTGGAATACAGAGGGCTGAGACCTGCTCTCATCTCAGGAGGGGCACAGATGACAGACAAACCAATGAGGAAAACACACTGCATGCCAGACACCAATGCTCTGGGAAGCATGGATAGGGAAAGGGACAGGAGTGGCCATTCTAAAGAGAGGGAGGCAGCTCTGGGAAAGGGACATTCAAATAGTGACGGGAAGGAAGAGGGAGAAGGGGTTCAGCCATGTGGACGGTGGCAAGGAGTGATTTCTCGGCAGAGGGAACTCCAAGGGCAGAAGCTTCTGGGCGGCTCTGAAAGCAGTGTGGAGGCTCATGGGCCTGAGGGTGAGTGAGGGTGGCAAAAGAAGAAGCCAGAGAGCGGTGGCCGCTATGAGGACTCCCTGGTGGACATGTGACAGGGTATCTGGAAGACCTGCGACAGGAGTGGTACCATCTGCCCTGGGCAAGGGGGCCCACACCTGAGTGGGGGCTGGCCAAGGGCGGTCCAATTCCAGACACTTGGCACGCTGAGAAGGCAGGAATCTGCTGAGACTAGCTCTGTGGCATGAGAAGGAGGAAGTTCTGGGGTTTCAGGCTGAGCGCAGGAAGGATGGGATTACTGTGTCCTGAGTTGGACAAGTCTGCAAGCAGTGTGTGACAGACACCCGAGGACAGCATGTAGGGGTGAGGCTGGGCTGCAGAGGTGAAAGTGGAAACTTGAAAAAATGCCTCCCAAAAGATATCCAGTGCTAATCCCTAAAACCTGTGACCATTATATGGCAAAAAGCGGGGGAGGGGACTTTGCAAATGTAATCAAGGATCTTAAGAGGAGAAGATTCTTCAAAGTAACCCTGAATCACATCACAAGCGTCGTTTTAAAAGAAGACAGGGCCATTTCACATACACAGAGGAGGAGGCCCTGTGATCCACTGAGACACAAACTGGTGATGCAGCCACAAGCCGAGGAATGCTGGAAGCGACCAGAGGCCAGAAGAGGCAGGAACAGCTTCCCCCCGAGAGCCTCCAGAGGGAGTGGGGTCCAGCCAACACCCTGATTTTGCTGCACTGAAACTCCTGCCCCCAGAACCGTAGAAATAGATTTGTGTTGTTTTAAGCCACCCAGCTTGCAGTGATGTGCTCCAGCGGCCACAGGGAACTAACAGTAGGGATCTCAGTGGGATGGCGTCTCAAACCACAAGATCCAAGGGCTACACCTTCAGGAGCACCACTGGAGGCGCTGGGGACACAGGAGAGAGCGGCGAGAATAAAGCAGGCAGGGCCCGGGGCTGGAGTGAGCCGGAGACTGGCTGTCCCAGAAGCCGAGGGGACAGTTTCAAGAAGGCAGCATAGTGTTTTAGGGAACGCAAGGTCAAGGCAGAGGGAAGAGGCTAAAACTGAGGTGGAATCCGTGGGGGGTGAGGCATACTCACCACAGAGGGAAGGTTCTCTTCTTGTCCCGGCCCATGCGGTTCCTGTTGATGGTCGTGGAGCAGGGCACAGCGTCCAGATGGTGGGAGCTGTTGGGCAGGGTGGGCACCCACTGGCTGTTCCTCTTGGCTTTCTGTTCCCTGGGGAGACATGAGAAATGCCCCTGCTCAGTCCAGGAGCCCACTACTGGCCATCAGCCTCCAAGTCATGGTCAGTTGACACCCACTGCACCCCTGCCAGGCTCCAGGACCCCGTGGGGACCCCTAAGCACCCCAGATTCTGCATGTATCTACTCCTGAGGCTCCCACTGGCACCCATTCAGAGGCACCCGTGCTAGGGGAAGGGTGCAGAGTGGCCCCAGACACAGCAGAACAGCGCCCAGCCCAGCACACGAGTCGCAGTATAACACGGTATGTGCTAGGCATGACTCCATGGAAGCATTATCCCCTCTGCAGGGAATGCACATGAGGAGGAGGCTTCCCAGGGAAGCAGACCCTGGAGTGGGGCCTTATGCACTGAATTGGGGCTCACTGGGAGTGGGGGGTAGGGCATTTCCGGAAGTGCACAGGTGGCAGCAGAGAGGAGGCTTGGATAGGTTGTGGGCTTGGCTGGGGCTGGAGAGGCGGGACAAGGAGAGGGTCCCGACCCCAGGGAGGGCTGGCATGCTCCGTGAGAAATGACTGCACTCGGCAGGCGACTAGGAGTCCCCGAGGAGTTTGAAGAAGGGAGAGACAAGATCAGACTAATCTTTTAGGTACACAGGCCAGCTTGAGATGGACAAGGCAACGCTTCTGGCTTCCAGGTTTCCAGACCAGGAGGGCTGAGGAGAAGCTGTGTTAGTGAAAACTTTCTATAACGTGAGGCTCAAAGCAAATAGCATACCATAAAAGGGCTCACTCTTCTCTGCAAATTACAGGTTCCTCTTACTACCAGGAAAATACCAAAAGGCTATTTTAAACTGAGGCTCCAGGGCTGGGTTGGTTTAAAAGACAAGTGCTCGGGTTCCCACTATGCCCTGTGTATCACTTTATCATCCTCAGGGCCACCTTCCCTAGTGAGTCTGAGCAACGTGAGGGCAGCGCTGACTGTGTGTCATTTGCTTTTATATCCCAACACCCACACCACATCTCCTTCAATAACTGTGGGCTACCGTTCAGAGAACATGACAGCAACTGCGCGATTTCCCTCCCGTCTGTGTCCCCACAGGAGGGGCAGGGAAACGCAGCTGGCAGCCCTTCTTTCCATGGGGTGGTGGAAGGTAGCAGCAGTGGCCATGACCTGCCAGGCCCCAGGCCCTTTGACTCTTTCCTCTTCTAAAGCTGGGGCCACCTGCGTCTCCAATGCTACAGTTCCAGAGTGCCCCTTTTCTGAGGGTGGGGCAGGGAGAGATGTACAGTACCAAACTCGGCTGGGACTCTGTCAAGTCCCCCGTACCCACATCTTACTCTCATCTGATGACCGGCCTTAACACATACCAGAGGCCTGGGAGAAGGAGGAACGTGGAACTAATTTGGGCAGGGCTTACAGGACAGCAAGGCTGGGGTCCCCTACCACAGCCCATCTGGGCCAGTGGTTTCGAATCTTGGCTACACAGACTCACGTTAAGAGTGCAAAATTTCTGGTAGGAAATCTCTGAGCCTGAGGAAGGCCCAGGAATACAAGTTCTTTACAACTTCCCTGGGCAATGCTGCTGCAGCGGGGCCTGTATTTGGGAACCTCAGGTCGAGACCACCACCTCTTTCCCGAGCCTCCTAGAGCTGGCATTGAGGCTCCCCCTCTGCCCGAAAAATCCTGCCTTATCTCAGCAGAGATCTCGCTCATTCCCAAGCCTGGGCAGCTGTGCCACGCCCCTGTCAGGTAGCTGTCTCAAGCAGCGTGCAAATCCTGTCCCAGACACAGCAAGGAAGCCAGACACTGAATCTGAGAATCTGGCGGGATTCGAACTTTCTTCTGCTACACGTAGGTCTGCCCAAGAGGGGATATCCAGCCTCTGCCCTACTTTTCCAGTGACGAGGGGGGGTGCCAGTCCTCCTGTGGAGCTGACTGGGCAGTGGGAAGGCACTTCCTGAGCACAGGGCCCAAGGAAAGCAGCTTCACTCAACCTCTACCCCCAACCCTCCCGGCAGTTTATTTATTTTTTAAAGTAGGCCATGTCCAGCATGGAGCCCAATGCAGGGCTGGAACTCCCAACCCTGAGATCTAGCCCTGAGCTGAGACCAAGAGTCGGCCACTTAACCGACGAAGCTACTCAGGTGCCCGCCTCTCAGTAGTTTTGGGCTCTGGGGTAACTACAATACTCTATTCCCTCAGCTGTTCCTCATATGACATGATCATCAAGAAGTCTTTACTGCCCCATAAAAGGTTCCTGGCTGACATGTGCAGACTTGAAAGCCCCAGCCATATGTACATGATTTCCTTCTGCCACTTCCCTAGGAAAGTCTAGCCATCCTTATGTTCTTACCACATCCCTCGGGGAAAGAGGAATCTGCAGAGCACACATCTCTAACACTGGCCAAGTGGGATGTGTGTCACCTTTAGGTGAGGGTGGGGGGAGGATTATAAAAACGACCCAATAGTAAAGTTGAAAGAAAATCTGGAAAGAAATGATTTTTCCATAACCACATCACTCAAAACAATAACCCTCCTTCCCCCCCTTCAGTGTCCCCAGGGTTTTGTGCATCTAAATGCATGTGTTCTTGAGAGCTGAGAGGGTAACGGAGGTATCCTGCACAGCTCACTCACATGAACCATGTTTCTGGTTGCCGCAAAGTCTAATTAACTATGACCTAAACAGTTACCTTATCCCAGTCTATCTGGTTCAAGGATATAGTCTCTCCTGGTCTACAGCCTAGTCTGTCACACCCTAGTCTACTCAGCTGGCTGCACGTTCTCTCACTCAAGCCTCTCCCTAAGGCTGGATGCTCAAGGGGCTCCCTACTGTCCGTCATTACTCATGATGCTATCAAGTGCCTCTCGATGCATATAACGATTTCTGCTGGTGGTGGTGGCCTTTTAAATTATTTGTCTGAGACACATTCCCAGGGGTGACATTAACGGGCCAGAGAACAAAAACAGGTTGGTGTCATCACCATGGCCTTGTACAAGGCCTCTGCAGGATGCCTGAGTGTGCCAGCTCTATCCTACCTTCCCCAATTCTTTATGTCGCTAGTCATTTTGTTTTACTTTGAATTCTTAACATTACAGAAGGACAAACATCGTCTCCTCTATTTGTTTACTCCGTGTGCTTCCAGGGGGGCCCACTCTTTACCTATTTAGCTACCAGGGTATCCAGGTTTCTCTTATAAACATGAATAAGTAAAAACCAAATAAAACTACCTATGAAAATGAAAAGATAAAAAAATTAAAAAATAAATCTGAACGAACAGACTCTATAATGTAACCACCGTCCAATTACTTACCCAGTTATTACTGTAAATACTCTTTCAAAGGTTCTAGAATTCTCTATTAAAATCTATCATTCACAGGCACCTGGGTGGCTCAGTCAGTTGAGCATCCAACTCTTGGTTTCTGCTCGGGTCATGATCTTGGGGTCATGGGGTCAAGCCCCCCTGCGCTCAGCACGGAATCTGCTTGAGAATCTCTCCCTCCCTCTCCCCCCTCCCACAAGGCTTGCACATGCGTGCTCTGTCTAAAATAAAAGAATAAATACATTTTAAAATCTATTGTTCATTTCTTTTGTGAATTTATCTGGGCCACTCATTTTTCGAACAGATTAGTGCCACTTTCAAAGCATTCCTAATGACTTTCCAGAACCCAAGACTTGGCTTATGTTTCTTAGAAATTCCAAAGATACAGAAGAAACTTGGAAACCTGCCTAAGACAATTTGTAAGCATAGTGGGTGAAGTGTTTAAAAGTATTTTGGTTCAGGAGTGCTTGGGTGGAGCAGTCAGTAGAGCTTCTGACTCTTGGTTTCGGCTCAGGTCGTGATCTCAGGTCCTGAGATCGAGCCCGGCATCCAGCTCCAAGCTCAGCAGGGAGTCTGCTTAAAAAAAAGACTCTCTCCTTCTCCCTCCGCCCCATCCCACGCCCTGGATGTGCACGCACACACTTGTGCACGCACTCTCTCTCACTCTCAAATAAATATACCTTTGAAAGTATTTCAGTTCAACTGAACCGCAACCAGTTCTAGAGTATGAGAAAAATACCTGCGGGTGTCGTCCCGAGAGCATGCCCCGGCTGGGGGTGTACTACCTGAGGTAGGTGGGCGGCTCCGTGCTGATGGACACCGCCTTGTACTTCTCGTCGTTGCCGTCCAGAATCTCTTCCACCTCTGAGGCTTTTAACAGCGTCACGCTGGTGGCCAGGGTCGTGTACCCGTGATCTGCAAGCAGAGACGCCGCTGCGGTCACCCTGCTGGCGGGGCAGCGAGGAGTGGCAGCCGGTGGATGCAGCACATCGAGGTCCTCACATGCACGAGGGAAAAGCAGGTGTCAACCTTACTACTGCTAAATGCTGGCCTCTTCCAAAAGGGCAATCTGGACGAAGTGCTTTCAGGGTCCTACTGAGGAAACACTCCCAGAGGACTGACTCGTGCTAATTTGTGCCAGGAGCACTGGCTCAGGGCACAGAGGAAGCGCCCGGGATGGCAGCAGCCACGGCACGGCACAGCCAATGGGTCCTCTTGGGGTGGGGGGGCAGGGAAGGAAGCTCCAGAGTAATACCACCAGTGGGAAGAGGTCTGACACCACGGCAATCCACGACACGAAGCAAAGTGGAGAGATGGAATGAAAGATGAAAAATACTTTTCTTTTAAAACAAGAGCCCAGAGAGTTAGAAAGAGCTGCTTCACACCGAACGTCAATTCCCGGCCCTGTGCCAGTCAATGCATGCCATCTAGGAAGCAGGACAGGTTCTAGGCAGCTCGACCCATAGCTCTTCTAGGGAACCTCGGTCAAGAGCTGCTACCTGTCAGCACGTTCAGACTGGCTTCTCCTGGAGAAACAAATCGGTTATGGGAACGTGTCTCCAAAGCACAGGGCAGAAGAGCCACTGAGACTTCATTTGAGGCTTGCGGGGGTGAAAGCAAAGCTAGGAACTCACTGCGTTAGTGACTGGTGCTCCACTCGGGGGTGGGGGGCAGAGGGAGGACAAAAAAGGAGACTTTTTAAAATAAGTGAGTGGCAATGTTATAGCAGCAGATAAAAAAAGCTCCGGCTCCTGCATTAAAAGAACCACTACTTTGCCCACAGTGGACAAGACCACAGCAGTACCTACAGACACAACCAAACAGGACAGACGGACGTGCACGCATGCACATCCACACACACGCGCGCGCGCGCACGCACACACACACACGCACGCACAGCTTCAGGCAGAGTCTTCACCCAGGCCCGGGCAGCTGTGTATAAGGCGCCACTGCCGAGCTGAAGCAGTTTCGCCACCTGCCAAACGCCACGCCGCGTCCAACCCAAAAGGTAAGGGGAGATGCTCCCGTCAGAGCCCTCGGAGCGTCTACAGAGCATCTTCTGGCCCCGCGCAGAGCCGCCACTGCCAAAGCCCGTTCTTCTCTCGAGTGTCGGGCAGTTCAGCCAGCGAGCCCCAGGCACGCCTCAGTCACACCAAGCAGGGACATGCACACGAGCACTAGCACGCTGCTCATCAGAATGAGGTGCTACGGGATGGATGTGCTCTGGGAAGCGAAGCGGTGAAAGCCCCAGAGGGGAGTGGGAGCTGGGGCCACCACCCGCCGCTCGGGCTGCATGGAGGGTGACTATGGCGACAAGCCCACGGCAGATGGCAGAGCATCACAGCATTCCTAAAACGTTTTGAGACCAACATGTCTTCACAGCATCCGCTGGTGTCCCGGCCCTGCCGCCCTCACGCCCCCGCTGGCCCTGCTGAAAATACCTGACGAGGGACCACCGGCTCCCTGGAGCCGCTTTCTCGCCTGAGCTTCGCGGCGAGCTCCGGGGCGACCCTGCCCCTCAGACGCTCCCTGCCACACTAAGGTCAGGGCTGCAGTGAAGACACTCTGGAGTGAAAACGTTTTATCTTCATGACATAAGCGAGTGGTTTTGAAACAGGTTTACAAACCCTCGTGAAGACGCACCCTTAGTGTTAGGTTTTGTTTTTTTACCATGTGACGATGCAACTATTTTCTTCCTCTCTTCCACAGTGGCTAGTCGCCTCCAGAGCGAGGGGTATCTCTTGTACAGAGAACCTCGGAACATACGGAGGTAGTTTCCCACCTATGAGTAAAGCAAGAAGGCTCATTATGAGGGTCATGTCTCGGCGCAGAAAGAGAGGGTCGTGGTGCAGAAGCTCTGCCCGACTGAGTGACAAGCAGAACACGAGTTAGCCTCCGGGCACCAGGCTTTCTGCAGCCATAAAAACACATTCTGCTGACATCGAGAGTTCAACCGCAGTGCACATCTGGCCCACATCTGCCCCTCTAGGCAGGGGCCATAACATCTGCATCTTGACGACAGGATCAAGTTCTGAAAGGCCTGACCAGACGCTTCTGAGGCAGGCCCCCAGAGCTCACTGAGAAGCTCGTGGTGATTTTGATTTTAGACTAAGGATCCCAGGCCCTTTCCAGAAATGTAAGTCCTCTTTGACTTTCTTTTATCTTAAGAACAGACTTTGATATTTTTATGATGTAATAAACACCAAAGACGTCTTTTAATTTTAGACAGATGCAGGATAATTTTCCCCATAGCCCCTGTTGGCTTTGTTTAGTAACAAAACTCAAACCAGGAACACGAAAGGAATTTTCCAAAGAGTTTAAAAAGCACTTACTGGCAATCAGCAGATTACTATATAAATCATTGCTGCCCCAACCAACTGCTTCAGTTTGTCTGTACCGGATACTCAAAGTATGACTTCCTTAATGAAAAGAAATCTAGTCTCCAAGTTTTCGTCAAGAAACTCAATTACTGGGACACCTGGGTGGCTCCGTCGTAAGTGTCTGCCTTTGGCTCAGGTCATGATCCCAGGGTCCTGGGATTGAGCCCCACATCAGGCTCCCTGCTCAGCAGGAGGCCTGCTTCCCCCTCTCCAACTTCCCCTGCTTGTGTTCCCTCTCTCTATCAAATAAATAAACAACATCTTAAAAAAAAAAAAAACTCGATTATTTAACTGACAGTGACCACTTGGCTCCCCTGGAAGGGGACAGTCGGTAGACTGAGTGCCATGTGTGGCTCCACCTGGGGCCACAAAGCACAGCCCTTTTCTGGGTCTACTCACTCATCCGTCAGACATGCAGCAACTCTGAACTTTGCCCCATGGAGGACCATTTCTATTATTCTTCCCATTTACCTACCCAGCACGATATATCTGTTAAATTAGAATGGGTTTCTCCCTTTTTCATGAATCAAAGATTTTTATGATCGACAACCAGGGCTGCTGAACAGCCTGACAGAAGAGTGGCCACAGCAAGTTGCTCATGCTCCACACAGAAGGCATAGACCCCTTTCTGCATTATTTGGCTTGAGTACCATTATCATCCAAGGGCAAATGGATAGTTTCCACTAGGTTTTTCGAAAGAAATTGACAACAATGCCCCCGACCATTACCCCGCAGGTCCTGTAGGGCTCCAGGACACCTAGATCCTTCCCAAGACCCCTTTGGAACTTGGGAGACCAGGGCTTGCCTTCCTGGTTTTCCCCTAAACCGGCCCTCACCCTCTCTTGATGCAAGTGTCCCAAACATAATATGAAGGTTGGGGCGCCTGGGTGGTGCAGTCGGTTAAGCGTCCGACTCCTGGTTTCGGCTCAGGTCAGGATCTCAGAGTCGTGAGATCGAGTCCCGAGTCCGGCTCCATGCTGAGCGGGGAGTCCGCTTGAGATTCTCTCTTCCTCTCCCTCTGTACCTCCCACTCTGCTTGTGCTCTCTCTCTCTAAAATAAGTAAATAAATCTTTAAAAAAATTAAAATGAAGGTGTGAACCTGGGGATTTCTTAGGATGTTCTCAGCTCTGTGACTCTGGCTTGGTGAACACAGCTGTCTGCAGAAGGCAGGAGAAGAGTGACACATACGCTTGCTGCAACTGTAGATGCCTCCCCAGAGCCGCTCCACAGACATGGAATGGCAGCCCTGGGGCTGTTGCTATGGCTGACCCAACCTCTCTGAATATGGTGTCTGTTTTCCAAAGGGAAGGGGCCTAGAGGCCATCTACCCAATGCTGTCACAGGAGCTACTGGTTATCTATAGTCAGCCTCCTGATCTTGAATCCTTTGCAGACCTCCAGAGACCTGACAACTCTACAGCCCGGCCCAAGAGAGCAGACGCCTCTCCTCTCTCCCATCTGGGTTTCTACAGACTGGGTCTCAGGACGATTCTCACTCAACAGGGCTGAAAAAGAAGCCTACAATTAGCCTTCCAGAAACAAAGAGGTGTTATGGGGAAGATCTTAGAGACCATCGTGTCTAAGCATCTCTCACATACATGAGAAAAGTGAGGAGGCAGAGCAGGGCTGGAACCAGGCCTCCTTCTTCCCATCTCTCAATATACTCCACCTAATAACTGAAAGCTTGCTTTTCAAAAGTAACATCCACTCACAGTCAAGGCCAAACTGAGTGCTTTTCCTGTCCACTAGATCAGATAAGGGCTTCTTTAAACAATGTGCCCAATATCAAAGGAAACTCCTCAAATGTCTTGTATCCTGCATTTAGGCGCTTCCTACAGGTTACTGAGCTGTGGCACACAGACAGGCACAGACTCTGCTTCCCTGCTATGTCTGAAGAACAGCACTGATGTGATAATGTGAAAAATTGATTTATAAATCTTGCCCTTTTTGTTTTATAAAAGTTGATGAAAAATGGACAGTAAAGTCCTGATGCTACTGACGATACTGGTCTCCTAACCTGATATAACTAAAACAAGCCAGGAATCACAGGGTATCCTGAAAGCCTCAGTGCGACCATCATGAGGCTCCATTCATTCATGCTATGTTCAATCGCGAGGGAAAAAATCCCCCATTATTTTAAAAACGGGAATGAAATGTTGGCATAGGATACTGAACACTGCTACAAGGAGAAACAACCCTGGGCGTCTTGTAACTGCTTTAGCTCTCCAGGATTGGCACTTATCTCATTACAAAGACTCTACAGCTTGGTATTTGCACATCTGAACTGCATATCCCCAATTAAAAAAAAAGGGGGGAATATACACTAGCTTGGGATTACTTTTGGATCAAAAAGAGCTGGTTTGAGGCAATCTAGAAAAAAGCTTAGTTCTTAGTACAAACTCCCACAGACCAACTGCAGGGTTTTCCTGAAGTCAGCTGTCCAGCTGATTCAACAAAACGCTGTCACTTCTGGTTAAGAATTGAAAATATTTAGAATCTCTCCCTCAAAATTCAGAGTAAGTTCAGGATAGTCCAAGTGTCAATTTCTTCTGAACTGCTTATTGATCTAGCTCAGGGACTGGGGCCTTATCTACGCAAAAGCAAGCATCCTCCTCCTTATTTCCTCATTGGTAAATAAAAATAACCAACACAGTGAGGAATGAGACGTCAGTAAGCCCGTTTCCAACCTGCGATTCCAGGATCCCAGATGTAGCAATAGAGGAGGGATGCACGGGAAGCTTTCAAAATCTCTCCCCCAGGCGCTCCAAGGGCTAACCGAAACATCCTGTTTCTCGGCGGCTGCCTGGAGTTGTACCAACTCAGGGCGGAACCAGCGGCTCCTCGCGCTGCCCTAAGCCCTGGCAGCGAACAGAATAAGCAAACCCTGAACACGGAGGTGCGCGGGGCGGAGCCACACAGGCCCCGCCCCGCCCCTTTCTACAACCCCGCGCGCGCGCCCGCCCGCGGCGATGAATGGAGACGCGCGTTCCCGGCGCACAGACCCGCCCCGAGGCTCCCGCGGGGCCGGAGCCGGAGGGCCAGGACGCGCCGCGGGCTACCTCAGAGCCGATCATGTAGAACTCGCCGTCGTCCTCCAGCTGGAACTTGACGGGCTTCTGCCCGAAGGTCTTGCTCAGCGCCATCATCATCATTGCTGCGGCGGAGGCGGGCGGCCGGGGCCGGGCTGCGAGGGATCGAGAGGACTGAGGAGGAGCCGCAGCGTGCCGAGCTGAGGAGAGCCGAGGCCGGGAGGCGACGGGCGGGCCGATCCGGTGCTCGGGCCGCCGCCGGGGTCCTCAGCCGCCGCCGCAAACGACGACCAGGCCGCTGTCAGCGCGCATGCGCTGGGCGTTGACGCTGACGCGCGCGCCGCCGCCGCCGCCGCCGCCGCCGCCCAAACAAAAGGCCGGGGCGCGCCCCTTCGGGCCCTTTAAAGGAACCACGACCCGTTTCTCCTCCAGGCTGCTTCCCAAGTGGAGGTACCGTGTAGAACTTCTCACGGACAGAAATAGCAACCGAGGCCCTGGCTCAAGCGGTGGCTTTCCCAGCCTCGCAGCTGGGAGTAGAACTCAGTCCAGTGGAGGAGGAGTGAAATGAGGCCTGAGGCCGGTAGGAGGCCAGAGCTATCCGTGCCTCAGTTTCCCTACCCGGAAAACGCAGTGTAGTTGAGTAGATAAGAGGGATCCTAGGAACAAATACCCTATTTCCGGGTCCATAGCTGTTCCTGCGGCTGTGGAGATGGGCAGAATGACAACACTGGGTGGGGAAGTGGCATGGGCACAGTTTCCCCAGGCTTGGCAGCATTCCAAGGCCCAGGTGGTGTTTGGTTTGGCTGGGGCATCAGTGAGCTGGAAGGGAGGCAAACTTCTCCATTCCTTCCTTAACTCTGCACTCTGTGCCTACAACAGGCGCAGCTGTGGGGTGGTGAGCGAAACTAGATAGCCTTGCTCTGCAGAGCTTACAGCTGGGTGTGGAGCTGACACTAATGAAAGCATCAAAGTGTCCGTGTGGCCGGCTGCACAAGGCAGCGGATCAAAAACGGCCCACTGCTGACAATTTCACGTGGTTCAGTCTAGTACAATTGCAGCTGTGTTAGGTGAGGCTGGGTGGCAGGGCAAGGCCACCCTTCAGAGTTAAGTGGGGTCGGCTGTCGTAACCATTGAGTTTTGTTCTGTGTCCTGACAGCAGTGAGAAACAAAGTATTACAGGATCGGGGCTGGGGTGGGACATGATCAGATAAAGTGACCACCACTTCATGGAGGATGCCCTGAGGGGCCAGCAGGGGAAGCCTGGAATCAATTACACAGCCACTCCAGGTGTCCAGCCAAACAAGATGGAGGAATAGAGCAAGAGGAGCCATCCGCATAGAGTCGGGCCCCAAGGACCAAAAGCTTGGGTGGGTGGGTGGAGTAGGTCCTGAGCCTGCTCCCACCTCCCCAGCTCTTTTCCCCTCCTGGCCTCATAATTACAGAAAGAACTCAGGCAGGCAAGTAGAAAATAACCATATTTAATGACAGTACTCAGTAGAAAAAAAAAAAAAGGCTTTGTATACACTGTACACACATTTACATGACTGTGGAGGGTCCCAGTGCTGCAATGAGGGCTGGGAAGGATCTAGCCCAAGACAGGATTGAGGTATGTTGGGGCTTCCAGGGCCCGGGGTCTCCAGCAGGAAACACCCCCCCTCCCCCAGCTGACTCTGGACCTTTTGGCCTGCATCCTGGAGAACACATCTCTAGGATCACCAACTAGAAGGCAGCCAGTTCCAAGCACCTACCCAGAGCTGACCTCTCAGGAAAAGGCAGAAGGGCCCCCCTGTGCCAGCACCCTGCAGGGACCTCACAGCAGGGACAGAATGAGGGCTTCAGCTCCCCCAGCCCTGCTGAGGTGCTAACCTGAGGGACAGGGATGGAGACTGAGGGCAGCAGGGTTTGACTGTGACCTGCACAGGTTGAGTGGAGCTGGCCTGAGAAAACCCTCACCCTCAAGGAACACCAGAGTCTCCTTGCCCAGTCTGAGACAGTTGCTGGCAGGTGACCACGACCTGCGTGGCCCTCCCTGCGGTTGTCAAGATGACAGCACCCCCTCCCCACCCCCCTGAGGAAACACAGGCTCTATCCTGTGCCTGAACCCACAGCCACAAAGATGGCCACTGGTCTCTATCCGCTATCAGTGGCCTGGCAGGGGTCAGGAGCCCTGAGAGAAGTTGTGGTTAGTGGAAAGTGTTGGCAGGCTCGGTACAGCCGAAGAAGTCGGGGCCCACGAGGCGGGGGAAGCCCTCCAAGGCCTTCACCTTCACAGGGTCGAACTTCCAATAGAGGCGACCGCGCAGAAAGTAGGCATAGCCTGAGGAGAGAGGAGGGTCAGGCTGGGGTGAGTAGACACTGGGCCCTGCACCTGCCAGTCAGGATGTGCCCAGGGACAGGCACAGAGGGAGGTCAGATTGCCAGGGCTTGACCACTGTTGAATTCCTTGAAACCTGTAGGTGCAGGGTGGCCATTCCAGAACTTTCCATCCTTCGGAATCCTACCCACCCCCGGGTCTGAGCTGAACTGTTGTCCAGCTTGACAGATGCCTGGAGTCTCAGAAACTCAATCCAGGAAAGCAAGTCTCCCTCCCCTCACCACACCTCTTCCCCCTACCCCACCTCAGTCTACTCCTGTACCTGCCAGCCAGACTATAGACAGACATCCTGAGGCAAGATGGACCATGCAGGTGACCCAGAGCCCCAGAGCCCCAGAGCCACCACAGCATTGCTCTGCCAGCAGGTCCTGAGGTGGGAGAGCAAAGAAGCAAGCTTGGGGGTACGGGGGAGAAAGTTCCAGACTGCAAGTCAGTCTTACTCTAGTCCTTTGAGATTGTGGGAGGCCAGCCAGGTGGTTCGGTGGTTAGGGGCAGGCACTGCCTGGGTGGGAGGCTTGGCTCCCCACAATCCACCTGAGTGGCCCGCATCACCTGAATCTCTGTTTGCCCCTCTGGAACCTGGCTTCGTAGCAGGTGTTATGTCAGAGGGCTGTTCTGAGAACTGCCAGCGACACACAGGGAGCTTAGCATTGTGCTTAGAAACATCATCGGTCCTCAGCATGCAGCAGTTATTATTTTACCAGTTATGACTCTGGCTCTCAGTTTTCCCATCTGTAGCATGGGGGCATAGCACTGGCCCGGCGCAAGGAGGAGGGTGGATGGGGAAAGCACTGGACAGAGGACCTGCGATGAGGAGCTAAGGCCCAGCCACCACCGGGTGGGAGACGTGGCTCTTGCACCGCTCGTACCAGCCTCTCCACCCCAACGCACCGTCAGCATCCCGGAAGGCGGCGTCGATCTCAGAGGGCACCCCTCGCCAGTCAGTGGCCCGGCGGGGCACGGGGCTGTCCACTCGGTGGGTGCTGAGGTGGAAGCGCCAGTAGTCTCCGCCTCCAAAGAAGTAGATCTTGTTCTTCTCGGGGCCCCAGGCCAAGGCGGCCTGGATGGGGGACCCCAGCAGGCCCAGCTCAGAGAGGGGTGCAGGGCCCAGGACTGGCTTCTCGCCATTGTACACCCAGTACTGAGCACCTGCCGGAGAGGGGAGGCTGCAATGGAGCTGCCCGACTGCTGCGCCCAGCTGCTGGGGACCCATGTGGCCACCCCCACTGCCACAGACTTCCCCAGCCTCGGTTTCCTTGTCCGTAAAACACTTGGGCCAGTAATCCTGCTCAGCTCCCTTTATCCCCAGAGGGAAGTCAGAGCCAGTGGGGATAAGCTGGGATGATGCGTGCTCTGGGAGGTACCACGTGGGAAAGGTCATTCTAGACAGGAAGGAGGCCTCCTCAGCTCCCACTCCATCCCCTGTAATTTAGCTACCTGTGACAAGTGCTTCTGACCAGTCCCTGAGCCCCACCCTTGCCGCGGCAGGCTTGGGCCTCTGTTGCTGAAGTCCCTGCCACCTAGAATGTTCCAGGCTCTTGTCTCTCCCAGTTGAAAGTTACGGCACACGCTCTGGGGTTGCCAGAACTAGATGGAATCCCTGCTCTGTCTTTTCCACACTGTGCCCTCAGGCGAGTTGCTTCACCACATCTATTCCCCAGAGATCTCATCTCTAGAACAGGCATACTAATCACACAGGCTTCAAGGGTTGAATGCACTGATGCATGGCCCACCGGTAATACCTTCTATTCTATTCCCATCTTGAGAGCCACCTCCTCTGGGAGCCTCCCAGCTGCACCTGGAGAAGCGAGCCATGCTCTCCCTTGGCCCTCAGGCTTCAGGGCACCCTCCCCCTGCCCAGGATGTCTGGCTGGCGGGCCCTCTCCTTGGCCATGATGTTCCTGGCTCCTGGAAGTCTCCTGAGCAGGAACCCCAGTCCACCTCACCTTGGAAGAACCAGATGTGGCCCTGGGCATCTTCGAAGGCTGCATCCACGGGGCTGGGCAGTCCCTGCCAGTGACGGGAAGCCAGTGCAGGGTAGCCAGGCTGCAGCCGGCCCCCACGTAGCCGCCACACGAAGCCCGCCTTGAAGAAGAAGAGCTCGCCACGGATGGTAGAGACTGCATCAAAGGTAATCTCGCAGGCATCTGGTGGGGCTTCCGGCTGGCGTGGGAGAGAAGGGCTAAGAAAGAGCCCACATCGGAGCCATGGAGGCCAGAGGGTGAAGGGAGCTGGGAGCAGGGCCTCACCTCCAGGGGGGCAATCTCGTTAGTGTCCACCCCAGCCTGCGGGCCCGCAGCCGGGGGACTGGAGGTGGGGGCTGGCCGGGGTCGGCCATAGAGGTGCTGGATGCCCCTGCGGTCATCTGGACTGAGGCTCAGTGGGTAGCGGAAGGTGTAGAAAGGGGACATAAGTGCCTTGGCAGCCGTTGTGTGCTGCAGCCCCAGCACGTGGCCAAATTCATGGGCCGCCACCTGCAGGAGGTCTGTGCCTGAAAAAGGGAGATAGCCCAGCAATCCTCAAACTTCCTGCCGCAAGGACACCCAAACTCCAGAGCCCAGCTCAGGGACTTGTCCTCATTCGTTATGATCTTTAGTTGCCCCATCTGGAAAACGGGTCCCCAGCCCGTACCCTGGTTGTTCCCGATAGTCCAGGTCTCATCATAGTCAAAGTGGACATCTCCTTCTCGGTGGGTCTTGGGGAAAAAGGCATGAGCCAGGATGCCCCCAGGCCCATCAAATGGCAGGTTGTCCCCATGCCAGTACCTGCGGGTGGGTGGGGCAGAGTCAGTGGCTACTGACCCGTGGGGCTGGTGCCCGGCGGGGTCTTAGGCCACTGGTTCACCTGGTAAAGTCGATCATGATGTCAGCATGGCCCTCATGCACCTCGGTGAAGGTGAGTGGTGTTACCTCGCTCCACACCTGTAGGGCATCTGCCACCGTCTGCCGTACCTGC